AGTAAAAATTTCATTCCACTGTGAAATCTTAAAATAAAAATCTAGATTTTTTTTCTGCGCCATTTTTGCTTTCTTAACTGGAGAGCGTAATTTGTTTTCTTTTCAGCAAACTAATTTGAAAAAAAAACTCAAGAAAACAAAAATAATTTTTGTCCGCGTTTTTGATATGATTGTGCTCTGAATATAAATTATCCATTAAAGCAATTAATCTACACAGGAAAAAAATTGTTCCAACAAAAAGACGAAGCAGAGCTTCGCACTAATTGCGACACAAAACAATAAACAAAAAGCATAAAACGAAAAAAACAATGAAAAACGTTAAAAAAACTATGAGAACCGAAATTTTCATATGTCTCGATGAAAGACACCAAGAGCTCAGCTAAAGCTACGTATTTAATATTCAGGAATTTGTTACAATGATGCTGGATGAAATGCGTTATTTCAAAATTTGGACTTCTCTCCAAAACCGTAGTTGTTTCTCTACTAAACTAAATGAAAAGAGTAAAATTTTTTGAGATTTTGGAATTTTCCTAAAGACCTAACCTTTCTCTTACAAAAAAATGAGGAGTAGCCGCTTCTGTAGAAAAAATTCGCGTAACCTCTTCTTTTGATTAAAATTTTCATCTCAGATTTGATAGGGTAGTTTTAAAGAAAATTCAAAGAGTTTCTAAAAAAGGTCAAAAGAGCAGGTCGCCATCGGTAAAGCAGAGAAGATTCCCAAACTCGGGTTTCTCGATTGAACACTAAACCTGAGAACTGACATGGTAATTTTCCAGCAGAGTAAAACACTTCGAAAAGCCGGTCAAATGTTCAAAACTTTCACTTGTTTGAAGGCTTTAACTTTTTTTCTCTAAGAAAATGGGCGTAGCAATTTATAATGGTAACCTTGCAAGAACATGTTGGGTAGATTAAACCGAGGATATCAGATTTGGCAGGATAGTTATCGAGAAAAGTCGGCGAAAACGGTCAACAAATCGGAGAAGTTGACACTTCCGAGAATCATAGCTTTGTTAAGAAAAAAAATGGCTAAGCATAGCCGCTTCTGCAGAAGAGATTCAACCAATCTGTTATTTCAATTGAATTAAGAAAGCTAGGTTTGACAGAGTGTTTCTGGACAAAAGTCAAAAAACGGTCAAAAAAAATCAAAATTTTGACTTCTTCGAGGGCCATAGTATTTGTGTCAAATAATTTTGTGCGTAGTCTAAAATGCAAAGGAGCTTCCCACAATCCTTTCTTAGGATTGAACCCAACTTCTTAGATTTAACAATGTATTTTTGTGAAATTCAAAAAAATTAGAAAACGCTCAAACAATCAAAAAGTTGACTTTTCGAGGACGATATCTTTTTGTGTATAAAAATTGTGAGTGTCCGCTAATGCATAGGAGAATCCCAATACTCGTTGTCTTCATTGAACTGACAACCTCAGGTTTTGGAGGCTAGTGTTTGAGGAAAAACACAGAAGGGAGGTTTTCAAATCCGTTCTATTCACTGAAACCCAAAAATCTCAGGTTTGGTGGGTAGTTTTTGAGAAAACGAACAAATTTGAAAATCTCGGTCAAATATCCCCTAAAGACCTTTTCGAAGTATGTAGACAAATACAGAAAACAAAAAGAGAGCAGGGGAGTTTGCAGGCATAGAAGAAAGTAGGCGGTCTTTCTATGGCTACTCCTTTTTGAAAATCGAAAAGGATTTTTGAGAAAAAACTATATTTTTTTTTGCAAAAAGTATTAAAATGTTCCACAGCGCCTTAAAAAATCAAATAAAAAACCTAAACACTTTCATAATACTTGTTTTTATCAAGCAGGAATTCTAGGCAAACATGCCAAGCAAGACAACTTGAATTCAAATTGGCAAATGAACAAAACTTACGAAGCGGAAACAAGGCCGACAATCTTTGAGCAGACAGCAGTTGAGCCGAAAAAAAACTAATTATGCAAAAAAAATTTCAAGTCCTCCCTGAAAATAAACTGAAGTAATTAGTACCCAGTCGATAGTTAAAATTCAATTTTTATGAAATTGAAGATGTCAGCTAAAGAGCATTGAGCATGTCAAGTGATTTAACTTTGTTATACTAGATTTAACAAAGTTAAATCACCCGAAAAAAGTCTACATTCCGATTTGATAACGCTTGCTAATCGCAAGCGTAAAAATAATATAATACTTAGCAAGGCGGCAAATTTTCGCAAACAAGACGATCAAAATTGAAGCTTTAATACATAGCCAACAGATGGCGCAAAAAAATCTGAAAAAAAAAAGAAAATAGCAAATAATATATAAGGTTAAAGCTCTTTGAATTTCAAGAATGGGCACTTTTTTGATGGAGATTTAGAAAAAGCTGGATCAACAGTTAATTTGTTTTTTTTTGCTGGAAATTCAGATCATAGCCAACTTGTTCACCTCATTAGAAATTAAAAAGGAAGTTACCACCGTAACAACAAATTCATGTAGAAGATGAATTAATTTATACAAGAGTACAAATTACATAACAAAACAGTGATGGTACAAAACCCTTGGAAAGTTGATCTGCTATATGCCTACCCTTGAAATTTACTAGGAAATTTACATAGTTATGGTTTTAAACTGAACTAGCGTGTACCGCACCTCCGGTGCTTCGGATTTTCAACAACTCAAAAAACTATTCCTTGAGTGTACTCTGACAGCACCCAATTACAGGGTTCGTAATTTAAAATGTTGCCAAGTTTTTATACAAATTTTGAAGCATAAAATTTTGTTAAGTTTTATAAAAATTCTTCAAAAAATTTGAAATGAACCAAGAAACGTCACATCTGGGAAACTGAAAGCAATTGAGCAGTCGCATTTGGACGCAAGATTTGCAACTCATGAGAGTACCCTTACAGTTCCCAACTACAACGTTGGGAAACTCAGATTTTGAGGAACTTCAGCTTAAGTTTTCTAAAAGAGGTTTTTTTAAAACCAGAAAAATTCTCATTTCGAAAACTACCAAAATTTGAGCAGTCTTTTTTGATGGCAAAATTCGCAATCTTTGAAAGTACACAACTGCAGGGTTGGGAATTTCACTTAAAAGAATTATTTAAATCACAAAAATCGCCTTATCTCTTAAACAAAAATGACTTGGGCATTCTTAATTGGAGGCCGAATTTGCAACCCCTGAGATTACTCTATCAGCCCCCCCCCCCAACTACAGGTTAGGAATTTGAAACTTTGGAAAACAATCTAATTTAATTTTCATCAATTTTTTTTTGAAAAAATCACAAAAACGTCATATCTGGCAACCTGCAAGATTTCGAGCAGTCCTATTCAGAGGAAAGATTCGCACCCCCTGAGAGTAACCTCAATGATTCCAATAACAGGATTGATATCTTCAAAGTTTTGGAACTTTTTAATATTAAGTTTTTTTTTGAAAATTTCGGAGAAAATCATAAAAGACGTCATATCTCGAACAAATTTGAAAATCTCGGTCAAATATCCCCTAAAGACCTTTTCGAAGTATGTAGACAAATACAGAAAACAAAAAGAGAGCAGGGGAGTTTGCAGGCATAGAAGAAAGTAGGCGGTCTTTCTATGGCTACTCCTTTTTGAAAATCGAAAAGGATTTTTGAGAAAAAACTATATTTTTTTTTTTGCAAAAAGTATTAAATTGTTCCACAGCGCCTTAAAAAATCAAATAAAAAACCTAAACACTTTCATAATACTTGTTTTTATCAAGCAGGAATTCTAGGCAAACATGCCAAGCAAGACAACTTGAATTCAAATTGGCAAATGAACAAAACTTACGAAGCGGAAACAAGGCCGACAATCTTTGAGCAGACAGCAGTTGAGCCGAAAAAAAACTAATTATGCAAAAAAAATTTCAAGTCCTCCCTGAAAATAAACTGAAGTAATTAGTACCCAGTCGATAGTTAAAATTCAATTTTTATGAAATTGAAGATGTCAGCTAAAGAGCATTGAGCATGTCAAGTGATTTAACTTTGTTATACTAATGGTTAACCCGAAAAAAGTCTACATTCCGATTTGATAACGCTTGCTAATCGCAAGCGTAAAAATAATATAGTACTTAGCAAGGCGGCAAATTTTCGCAAACAAGACGATCAAAATTGAAGCTTTAATACATAGCCAACAGATGGCGCAAAAAAATCTGAAAAAAAAAAGAAAATAGCAAATAATATATAAGGTTAAAGCTCTTTGAATTTCAAGAATGGGCACTTTTTTGATGGAGATTTAGAAAAAGCTGGATCAACAGTTAATTTGTTTTTTTTTGCTGGAAATTCAGATCATAGCCAACTGACAGTTGGAAAAGAGTAATGAACGCAAAGAAACAAAAAATAACTGACTTTGGAATTTTAAAGAAAAAATATATGACTGCAAAGCTCTTTGAATTTCACAATCAATTTTTGATTGAAGCATTTTGATAAAAATAACCCATTTTGAAAAAGCTTGATCAATAGGAAAATTTTTTATTTCGCTGGGCAATCTGATACTTAAATTCCATTTTCGAAGTAAGAATTCGATCATGTTTTTCGGGTAAATTGCACTTTTGCACTTTAATAATGATGTTTGCCTTCTTTTCAACAAAAGAAATGACCCGAACGTATTAAATAAATCAAAAATTGAAAAATCATATGTGAGCGTGAAGAAATTTTAAGACATTTCCAAAAAATCCATCTGAAAAATTTTAAAATTAAGACCTATACAAAAGTTTAAGCAATAACTAGAAGAACAAAATTTTACCTTCCCTGAAAAAGATGATATTCGGCTCACTCTACTTCATGGTCATCATAAGAAAAAAAAACACCCGAAATCAAACTTCTTCCCAGGTAACCTTTGGGAATCTTGGTCAAAATAGCAATGAAATAGCCAGACTAAGTAGCAACGAATTCATCCGTGTAGCAACGAATTCATCCGTGTAGCAAATGAAAAACCCAAAAAAGTTAGGGCAAGCTCAGATTGGAAACAGTTTATTATGATTATATTTATCAAATTTTTGGTATGAAATGACGTTAAGATGGCTCTGAGACTGACCGATTCCGACGTTTGCATTGATGTCGTGCAACCTGTCATCTCTGATGGCTCCCAAAGGCAACATGTAAGTGTCATCTAAAATAACAACCAAACTCAATTCAATCAATCTGAAAAACTGCGAAGGCCAACACTGAACAAATCGAGCTAATGAACACCCATTTTTGGTCGACCAATTGCAAAAAATATTTAAATGCGCCTTCGGCGTTACTATACAATTTGGGGAGGGAGCAGTCACCGAAAAATGCAATTTCTTCAACGCCTTCTCTGAAAACCTGCATTTTTGGGCTATTTAAAAAAAAAACAGCCATAAAGAAAACTTTGATTAATTAGGTCATAAACAATGTTATGGGAGAGCTCAGAAAATCATCTTCATCGGCTTAAAAAAGTTCAAAACAAAATTTTCGATCCCACCCGTGGTGCTTAACAACAGAAGTAGGTACGAATATGAAAATTACTTGGCCAGTTTGGGAAGAAGTCTGGCTTCCAGAAGGGGTCGATCATGGGGGACAGTTGTCCACAGTTTCCAGTCTGTCCCCCTCCACTCCTGTCCAGACCTTCCGTGGCCCTGAGAGGTACCAGGTGGTTGACGCGCAGACGCGACACACAGCCGATAAAGCCTGCATCACAGCACAATTACATTACAGATTATAGTTACAATTGATCTCTTTAACTATATCCCCCCTCGGGTACCTAGTAACGAATATAACTTTTTTATTCCGCTGCAAAATCTGAAATACCAAATCCACTTTCGAAACTTAAAGTCATTCATTTGTTTCCACAAGTTGCATATTCACAATCGGAAAACGTAGGTAGCGAAATGAATTTCATTTGAAATTGAAAAAAAAAAAATCAAAATTCAAACCGCAAAAATTTCAGTTTGAGACAATTTTGAAAACTTTTTCCTATACAGCGGTTCAATTTCGTTCTTTTCAACTTGAAAATCCATCCTCGTTAAGCTCTTTAAATTTCATCTTTTATTAATGATAGGATTTGATAAAACTAAACCAATTCCAGAAAACTGGATCAATAAGTAGTGTTTTTATTCTGCTGGAAATCTGATAAGTTGAGCTTTAGTTATTTGAGAGAGTAATTAAAGAACTTCAAAAGAAATAAAAGTCACACCGCGAAAACCAATTTTGAGCATCAATAACTTCTATAGTATTTTCTCGAAAAAAATTCGTTCACATTTTTGAGTCCATTTAGATTTCCATAATAAGAAAGCGCAATTTGTGTTCCTGTTAGCAGTTGAGTTTCAATTAAACTTCAAAAAAACAAAGAGTCAAATAGCGAAAAATCAACTTTGAGCATGCTCAACTGAAAAGACTTTTTCCCAAAAATCACGACCTAAAAACAACACAAGACTGCGTTCATTGGCACTTAAACACTAACAAAAGCACGACCTATATAAGGGTCTTCAGCATGTTCATTGAAACCAAAAGTTTGACTCCTGGGACCTTGGTCACGTAACTTTCACCACACTTGTCGATAAAAGTGTCTGAATATTTCTGAATGCTACTGACTGTAGATACAAATTTGTGCCCCCTTTCATAGAAATTATTATTATTATGATTGATTTTTATATAATTTCAGTCTGTATACAAGTTCTTTCTGAGCTGTTTGTCATAAATATAGAATAGTCACAAGTGTACAAATTAAAGACAGTCAATTATGATTTAATCTTTTTTCGAACAAATGGTTGCTTTTTTCATTTTTTGATGAGTTCAAAAAATTTAATGATTATAGATGGTCAGTAGCAAAAACAAACTGTTGAAACTTGTGTGTCGTTGTGAGTAGCTGAAATAAATTTGATCTCAGATTTAGTACCTCCAGAGTTCTTGCCCTTGGCGTCGTTTCCCACGTAGAACCTGGTGGGATTGGTCATTCCCGGCACAGATCCCACATTGTCCAGCACCACTGTCGGGTAGTTGTCCACCTAGGAGAACAAGACCAATGCTGCACAATACTTTTAAACACTAGCCATATACAAAGCAGCGAGAGATGCTATCAAATTACCAAATGCTTAGAAATATACCGAATGCCTCCAAACGAGCTCTTTTATTTACTAGTTGGCTTAGAAAAATGTAGATTTGTAATATAACACTACCGCTTGCTAGTGTAATAAAAATCGGTATTATTGTTGTTATTTGCCCGTAGGGGCGCGTGATGCAAGCTAGACCCGGTGTTCAAGAACTTCGGTGGCGAGAACCACGGATCTATTGAGGTGAAGTCAGGCTGGTTTTTGGAAAAAAATGAAGGGTAGTGTGGACAGGATGAAGGGTTGTGTAGATTGTTACCTGCATTGTGATTTTGGTGTCCCTCTTGATGACGACACTGTGGAACTTATTATCCGTGTAGGTGTTCCTGTCTTGCAACTCCCTGTACAAACCACTGTAGTCAAATCGCACCATTAGACCGTCTGAACACAACACAAAATGACAACGTTGAAAATGAAACGAGGAGATTAGTCACTTTATGTTCCAAAATAACAAAACGGCGAAGTAGCCAATTACAGTGCAAAGATACACACAGATTGTTCCGATCAACCACCGTAATTTTTATAAAATGAAATAAAAAACAAATTGAACGAGAGCTTAAAGAATACGCTTCTTCGAAATAGTCGCAATATCAAACAAGAACAGCCGGTTCTGTGCAAATAACACCGAATGTTCCCCGAACATAGTCTCAAACAAACACATTTTTTTCGAATTTTGTCGTTTTTATGTAAGATGTGATAAAAGATTTGAACAAAAAAAAAACAAAAATAAGTCATATTCATTACTCATGGTCAAATAAATAGGCCAATTGCGAAACAGTTTTTGAAGGAAACGAAAAAAAACGTATAAAATTTTTTTTTACTCGAGTAAAATTAAGTTTTCAAGGCTTAAATAAGCTACTGCAAGCCTGCACGCTGACCTTAATAGCTCTAAATAAGAAAAAAAATCAAAAAATTCAATCCTGTTTTTCTCAACACTGAGAAAAAAACTAAAATTTTTAGCTGTTCGAATCACGACTTAAAGGACTTTAACATGAAATACAACTCAGCCCATTCCGATGATTGTTTGTGGTACCTGACTTTGCATGCAAAACAAAAAACACTAAAAACACTCGCATACAAAGTTCCTCCGCATTTTTCAAATGGTGCGCAACAATGTTTCCATAGCCTAACTTTTCGAACAATTTTCAACTTTCGAAGAAAAAATAAATGGCATCTTATCTGTTTCATTTTCAGGAGCCTTTTATGATTGAAAGTTTTTTCATAAAGACTAACTTTATTAGATGAAACCAGATCAACGGGTATTTTTTTAATCCACTGATCACTTTTAAAAATTAAAAATCATTTCGCAACTAAAGTCAAATGAAATTTTCTGTGCAGTTCATCTTTTGATATTTCAAAGAGTTATTTATTAGACTAAAATTAAGCAAACGAACTGAAATTGAACTTTAAAAAAAATCAAAATTCAAACAGCGAAGAAACAAATTAAATTGTAGGAAAAGAAATTATAGTCAACTGACAGTTGCAATCGAGAAATGAAGGCAAGGAAACAGAAAAAATTACTTGTTTTCTGGAATTTAAACAAAAATATATGGCCTTAAATTTAAACAAAAATATATGGCCTTAAATCTGTAAAAAATTTGACGAAAATTTATGACCGGTGCTTATTTAAAAACTTTTACCCAATTTGAGAAAACTTGATTAAAACTTGATAATAATTTTCGCTGCGAAATCTGAAAATTAAATTCTATTTTCGAAATTAGAAGTCAATCACATCTTTCGTAACCTTTACATTACTACTGTTCGCTAGTCGAGTTTGCCTAACTTTTAAAAGATGAAATAACTGATATTAAAAGAAATAAGAAGTCAAACCGCGGAAAATCAAAATTGAGCGAGAACAAATTTTAAGACTTTCCTGGAACAAAAAAATCAACAAGACCTATATAAGAGTTTGCATTGTGTTCATTACACTTAAAAACCTTATCACCTATAAAAAACCACTCGACATATGTGTCTTTAAATCAATTTAACTGGGCACATACGTTTTTTGGGCCCTTTCTGGAAAGTTTGACAAAAGATCGCGTTTCGGCGCGCTCTTCTACTCCGACAAAATTACTATATATTGGCGCCTGAGACACCATTAGGAAAACTTTAGGGTCGATCCGACGAAAATGGATGAACCATTGATGGATTGCGAGGGTGATTAATAAGAGCCTCCTCTCCCCCCCCCCCCCCCCCCATCCTAATCCGTCCCTGTTTCGATCACTCCAGGTTGTCTTTTCTACGCTCCCTCCTCTCTAATCCTCAATTATCAAAAACAAACTAAGCATAAGCCAATAAAGATTCCAATGTGTCCCAATAATTACTCCGTGAAAAATAGGACTAGACACAAAAGCCAATATAATCACGCAACTACTCAATTGGGAAACAATTCTACCAAAAACCAACCATAAAAAACTAATCATTGATTTTTGCAAGAAGGCAATTTAAATGTAGCAAAAAAGCTGATCATTTTGGTAGAGAAAGGCCAATTATATTTAGTGTCCTTATTAACCTCTCAGTCAATTGTGCATCATCCATGGCATTTGGTGTTTATTTTTTTGTGAAATAACAAAAAAAGTGTGAACAAAACAATTCCAGTTGACGTCAACGTAAGAAAAACGCAAAAAACTAAAGAGCAAAAACCATTAGTGAGATTAAATCAAGTGAAGCATGTTTTGAAAGACATAGATACAAAACAGGTTCATTGTGAACTTTGCAAAAGCATACATCCAAATACACAAATTGGTTCTTTCCACAACTCAATTGTATGTGGGGACCAATTGAGCAGTATACCTCAAAGCAATACAGAAAATACAAAAAAATGGTGCTATCGAACGCGAGCAAGTGGTTGATGTTAAATTAACACGCAGCCAATTGTCCGACTGAACTTTTTTCAATGAGTTACGATGAACAATTTTGAAAAATATTTGTTATTCGGGCGATAATTGCTCCAATCCAAAGTCTTAGTAATGACCTTAATGCAAAATTTTCTTTAATTAAGACAGGAAAAAGGTAGAGAGTGTTGGAAAAAACAACAAACGCAAGGAAACAGTAAAAAAAACTTGACTAATTTTTTAAAACAAAACTTCAAGATTCGAAATTTGAAGTAAAAAATTATGGTCTAAAGACTCTTTGAATTTCAAGATTAATTTATGGTTGTTTAAATAAACTCAATTGGAGAAAACTGAATTAATATGTGAAGCTTGTATTCCGCTGGGAAATCTACTTTCGAAATTAGAAGTCAATCAAGTTTTTCGTGACCTTCCATTTTACGAAGGAAATGACTTGAATTTAAAAAGAAACCATAACTCAAACCTCGAAAGATCAAATTTGAGCGTGAATAATATTTAAAATTTTTCAATACATTCATCCACTCTTAAAAAACGAAACACAACAATTTTTTTTTTCAAAATCTTTTGATATGTTCAGAAAATTGGCAATATCTTCGGTTTAAGAGGATTTAGCGGGTGACTCTGATATCGGGACTGCATATGAGTTCCCTATAATTATCCAATAAAATGATTCTATAAAGCTAAGATTTAAGCTTCAAAAAATTAAGTGGTTCGGGTGTGCATTGCCAAAAATGTACGTGCCTTTTAATCATTGAACAATATCGCATATTTGATTCATGTTCATTTTCTCAGGTTTTCCCATAGCAATTTGTTTCACTCATGACATTTAAACCACGAGAAAAGACAATTACTTTTTAGTCCTTGCAAAAGTTTTGCTGAAAGATAGAAGGCATGACCTTCTAGTGTTATATGACAGTCTTAGCAACAGAGAACTGTTTCAAAAATCAAACAGAAATTCAGATACATAAAACGAAAAACAAGGAAATCGCGATCGTAAAAAATGTTTTCCGTTGTAAATCCTCGAAACACAGTCTGTCAAATTAAAAAAAATCAATTCTTTTTAATTTTAAGTCATTTGTCTGCAATACAAAAATCCAACTGATATTGGAAGAACATGTGCATCTAGAAAGGCCATATTGAATTCTTGGCTTCATTTAAGAACTGTAGTAAATTCTTTTTACACCTTGTGGTGGCGGATGTCATTAGGGGAACCGACGCGGGATTCGTGTTGGTAATTAATTATTAGCCACCTAGGTCCTTAATGTCTCATTTTGGAATTCACTCCCATAAAACCCTCAAGATTTGCTTAACCGTTTGCACTTTGATGCCAGAACGTTAAATTATTTATTATACAACTACACCTGGCTATTTACAGAAAATTTTAGGGCCGAGTAGATTATGATTATTAGCAGCATAAAGATTCGAAGATTCTGGGCGATGTCCAATTTTAATCAACGTAGTTTTATCTGAATTCATCTGATTAGAAATTGACTAATTATTAACATCAAATATGTCAGACTGTTATTCATAGTCCCAAAAAATCAAAATTCTGCTGTGTTTATAAACAAAAATAGCTTTGATTTGTTTACATTTTCGGGAATAAACTCAGGTGTCAGTATTTTCTAATATTGAAAATAAGCCTAAGGATTCTCCGGACTTTTTTTCGAATCCTAGTCACAACTGAAATGGTTTTAAAATGATCTACCACTAATCCCCATAAGTTTATTTGTAGTATCTGATTTTGCGAGATAAAAATCACTTTGATATAATTTCGCATAATTGGGGGGGGGGGGGGGGGGGGTGGTAGAGGGTGAGTTGAAACAACAAGTAGCCTGTTGCTTCGTAAGTAACACAGCATGTTATAAACCACAGTATTAAAATTAGCAATTTTCAAAATAAGATGTTTATTTGTATAAACTTTTTGTTTAAAATTGTTAGTTAACTTTAGAGTTACGGAGTGAATTTAATGTAGCTTCATAGTTCTAATCATTAAAGAACTTTATTTGAACTTTAGGCGAAACTAAAATTAGATTTCATTTGAGGCTGAAGTAATCATTAATTTCAGCTAGGGAAATATTTTATAACGTTTGAACTTTATAGACGCACAGACATGTATTAACATCAAATATAAAATGTTTTCAGACTCGAAAAAATCAGATCCATTAAAATATTACTTATAACACCTGAGTCGATGCGATCAGCAAATGTCAGCTAAATTTAATACCTTAGAGAGGTAGATGACTTTGTGAAGTATGTTACAAAAAGCAATCAGCACAAAACAATAGGTGGATTAAATATAGAATGTCCCCAATTCAAATACAGCTGAACATTTTCATTTATCCATCTTTTTTTATTCACACAAATTGATTAAAAATTATGACAGTTCGCACTATTTGCGATGCAACACAACTAATCGACAGAACATGAGACGAAAATTGAATTAGTAAAACAAAACTTTGAAAAAAATGTCAGAGCCACAAATTTTGCCAAAGTACATTTGTATCGATACGTCTTGATGAGGAAAACATTATAAGTAAGATAGTTGCCACTGTTTAAATTAGCATCGAAACAAATATTAGGCAGCTGTTACAAGCCGGTAACATTTAGGTCGACGCTTGGTGAGCCGAAGAAACGTTAGCATAAAAAAATGTTAGGATGTGAGGAACGACGTTTTGAAAAAACCTCATCACAGTCAGACCACGAATCGATTCGCCCGTCAAACAAAGCAAAATGAGGCTAATAAAACATATCAAAATCTTTCAAGCTAAACTAAACGTAGCCAGTTGACAGATAGGAAATAGTCAATGAATGCAAGCAAATAAACTAAAACACAGACACGAAGCTGCGTTTCGCAAACATAAGCAAGAACACGAAAAAAAGCAGCTCTATAAAGTGCAAGAATAAAAAGTAGAAATAAGCCTCGAATTAGAAAAAAATTCGGCTACGTCTCGGATTTGAACCTATAACTGCGACCCAGAAGTTATGCGTCTCGCGCACTAACCATTCAGCCACAGACGCTTAATTAATCACAAAAACTACCCACAAATCTAGCAGAGAACAGATCCGATACAAATTCCAATTCTACAGTGAAATTTCCATATAAGTGAACTTTCAATGAACATTTTTATTTGCGGGTTAGTTAACAGCAAAAATTTCGCACTATTACACTAACGCTCTCAAGCTCGCTAGTGTGAATAATGATTGTTTTTGAAAAAAATCTTAAATTTCGAATTTCAAAGAAAACAAAAGCAACAAACAGTAGGAAGAGACAATGAAGGTAAGTAAACAAAAAAACACTTACTTCTTTTTGAAAAAACTTCAAGTTCGAAGTTCAAAGAAAAAAATATATGGCCTTAAAGCAAGTAAACAGAAGGCAAGTAAACAGAAAAAAATACTTACTAAAATGGCCGCAAAGCTTTTTGAATTTCAAGAACACTTTATGATTAAGACATGTTTGATAAAAATAACGTAATTTGATAAAATTGGATCAATAGGCAAAATTTTTATTTTGCTGGGAAAGCTGATAATTAAATTCCATTTTCGAAATTAGAAGTCGATCACTTTATACGAGACCTTTCTAACTTTGCTGTTCGATTCTAGAAATTACCTTTCTTTTAATTTTCAAAAAAATCAAACCGCGAAAAATTAAATTTCAGCCTGAACAAATTTTAGGACTTTTCCTGAAAACAACTGAAAAAAAAATATTACGACCTATTTAAGAGTCTGAAACTGAATCTACAGACAATTCATACAATTTGAGGACCATAAGTTAAGAAATAAATACACAGCAAAACACGTGCATTCGAAAATTTTTACCGGTCGGCAACTAAACCAAAAACACTTTAGTATACAACACTTGAATCGAAAATAAAATGTTGTCACAGACAAACTTTCAACTATAAAATTTTAAAATTCGTACTTCTACGCCCTGTTTTTATTGACACAAAAACGCGATTAATTTCTTACCATTTAAGCGAAAAGAGTTCCTGGGTAGAAGTAAACTTGCGCTCGCAATTGAAAAAGATCATATTTATCAGAAAATTGTCTGAAAAGGTTAGTTTTTTTCTGAACAAAGAGCTAGCAAAAATTGGAAAAAGTCAATAAGCTCAAGAAAACCGAAAAAAATGATTAAATCCTTTCCGAAAAAGTTTCAACTTTGGACTTTTCCTGAAAAAAAGTACAGGCTAAAAAACTTTGATCTTTCTTACCTGGCAACCAACAATTATTTTAAGAATTGCTAATGAGCAGAATAATTCAATGAGTTTTCTGAACGATTTTTCTCTTTATAAGTTGTGTCATTTTTGGGCGTGTAAAAATGGGTAAGATTATAACAATAGTAATGGCGTTTTATACTAACATACAGATAGGAACAAAAAAAATCAAATTGACCTCCGTTCATAGATGCGAGCAGTTCGCACTTAAATACTGCACTTAAATGTGCGAATTACGCTGGACACAAGTGGACCAGTGTTTTGCACACGTTATACGATATACAAAAAAATTATACAAAAAAACCTTATACGATATAAGATTATACGATTTTATAACTGACCGTATCTAACTCAAAGCTTGCATATGTCAATAACGATTTAAAGATACGAAGTGACGGAAAGAGAAAAAAGAAGGCAACTGACCTCCACTCATGAATGCGTGTATTGAGTTCTGTCCATTCTCACTCTCTAGGAGGAAGATAGTTCCCTGGGGCTTGTCAGTCATGAATCCGAAGGTGATGGTGTCTGTGGCCATGCTCTTCTGTCTCAGAGAGGAGGGGATGTTCCATACTGTGACGTCAGAACCATCGTAGTACGTCCCAATTTCTAAACAGTATTATTATTATCTATATCAATATTCACTATATCAATATTATTAATATTTTCATTTATATCAATATTCGGGCCTCTTTCAAATGTCAACGCATTGTCTCAATATTCAATATCAATATTCAGGCTGTAATCATTTAACCGTTTCTTCTTTCTTGGGTTAGACGCAAAAACAAGGCCTCATTTAAGAAATTTACACACTTTCCAATTAAAATGACTTTTTAGTTCGGTTTATGAGAAGGTGTTTTCTTAACATCATTTTCTGTTAATCTTTTTTTCACGACTTTTCGCGAACTATACAAGTGTGTTCACTTAGTTCATTGACACTTAAAATTATTTAGTTTCAGTATTGGCCTGATTAATTAAACCAGATAGCTCTTTTCGAATTTTTGTCTGATCTCAAAGATTGGTTTACAGTAGCTCGTTTCATGTTATGTTAACTTGAAGCAAAGCCAAAAAAGAATGGCCTATTTAAGTCGACATTAATCATTGCGCCTCCTTTAGCAGGTTAATAATAAAGTAAAATAGCTCATAGTTTTAACAACGTGATGAATTATTATGGGGAGAAAATTTTCTTGGTGTACACAGATTCTAGAATAGATTTATTTGGAGTTTAAAAAGGTAGAGGAAAAGAGGCTGTGTTAAAACAGACGGAACCGTCGTGTACCAGTGATATTCTCAGAACACTCACCCAAGTATTAAATTCGGAGCTAAACCAAATTACATGAATACTCGAACATAACGCTAATTCAAGGGCTACATTCGTACTTATAACTAATATATTTTATAAGTACTTTAACAAGTTGTTAACTTAAGGTTTACGTTCAAATTAACAAAAAAAATCATTTATTAGTATTTAACATAATAGTATTTATTATAAAAAATAATTGCCAGCTTAAATCTACAGGCTCCTAATAGCTTATCTTCAAACACATACGTACCTTCGGTGCAAATCTTTCCCCCAAAGGCGGACTCTCTGCAGTCGCAGCTGAACTTCCACCAGTACTCGAAGCAGATGCCGTTATTCTGACACGGGTTCCGGAAGTCACATGGTCCCACACACCCTGGGAAGGTGAGGAAGCCTGGTTCGTATTTGGCATGGCCATACAGATCCAGCAGGTTCCCGTTGATCATCAGGGCTCGCATGCAACCCACAAATCCGTTCACTTGACCTGTTTACAAACCACACATACTAACAACACCCTTTGCTAATAAACATAGCCAACTAACTCTAGGAAACGCGTTTATGAAATTCAGGAAACCGTTTTTGATTTTCCAGCCATATGATTGAACTTGTAGAACATATTCATTATTAAGTTGAAAAACGAAAATAAACTATAGAATGGAGAAAAAATGACAGTTAAAAAAATGTTTTGTTATTTCAAATTTCGACTTTCAAAGAAAAAATATATCACCTTAAAGCTCAAGATTTAAAGGGTCTTTCATGTTTGACCGTTTTTGGATCTTCTATCGTTTCGATGTTTCGAACAGAAATATCAATTTTACAGTGTAGCCATAGAATGAATTTAAGAATTGTTGTATTTAAAGACAAAAAGTGTTTGTAATGCGTAATGCGTGACAATTAGACTTCGTGGACAAATTTGGGACACAGAAAAAGCATGTGATGGCGAAACGATAGATCCAGACTTTTCCTACGCTGCTGACAAACGTTAAACTTAAAAATCATAAATAAATCTAGAAGTCCATCACCAAAAAGTTCAAATACAGAAAGAACTTTAGTACCATACCAGTATCGGCTCCCACAAGAATTTGATCGTTTAGGAACAATCGTTCGTCTCTTTCTGATTTGATGAGCAAAGGATCGTAGTTGAAATCGTTGTCGTACATATCAACGTACAATTCTTCATTTGATTCCGTAGGCTAAAACAGCAGCAGAAAACGATCCCTTAAAAATATCATTCAAAAAATAAAAGTTATAATGATGACCTTTCGCATATATCAGAATAATCGATCACAATGTTTGGTGATTTTATTGCTTCGAATTCAGAAAAAGTGAGGGATATTCATACTCCGTGGGGAATTCTTGTCCACTGACCAACTACGGTGATCGAATATGAAAATTGTCTCTGACAGAAGTTTTGAATGCATATTGAAAATGAGGCTGCGACGAAACTCAAAACTGATACAAGCTGGTCGCGACCTTTTATTCTCGAATAGACGAGGCAAATTATACAAAAACACAGGCGAAGCATGAGTACTTAATACACATAGCCAACAGACATTTGGAAAATAGTCAATGAACGCAATAAACACAAAAAACTGAAAACTCAACTTCGACTTTCAATTTACAATTTATATGGCCTGAATACTCTTAGGTTATCAAATAAAAAATTAAAGACTTTTTCAGCATAGCCAACTGACAATTGAGAAAAGAGTAATAAACGCAAAAGAACAAAAAAACAACGAAAATGTTTCTGAAAAAAAAAACTTCAACTTCAACTTCACAACTTTCTTAACTTAAAACAAGAGTCAACGATCGCAAGGAATTAGAAAAAAACGTGACTAATTTTTTAAAATGAAATTTCAAAATTAGAAATTCAAAAATAAATCTGTCCTTAAAGCTCTTCGAATTTCATGAACAACTTAGATTTGACCCCTTTTTTGATAAAGTTAACCCAACTTGAAAAAATGGATCAATAGATTAAAATTTTGTTTCGCTGGATAATAAAACTCCATTTTCGAATTTAGAAGTCTATCACGTGGGTTTTCGTGAACTTTGCATTTTTGCTGTTCAAAAAATTAAAAATGAGCTTGAACAATTTTTTATGAAAAAAAATCATAAAAGTCAACAATACCAATTTAAGAGTGCTCAGTACATTCATTAATCTTGAAAGAACACAATTTGAAAAAACTGGATCAAAAGGTAAGTTTTTTTATTGTTGGGAAATCTAAAAAATAAAAGGCACGCTCGAAAATGAAAGTCGATTCAATTTTTTGTGACCTTTACCCTTTTTCTGTTCGATAGTGAAGTTTACCTTCCTTACCAGCAAAGAAAATGAACTGAATTTAAAAATATCAATAGTCAAACCACGTAAAAGCAAATTTGAGCCAGATCAAATATTAAGACTTTTCCAGAAATAAAAATAGAAAAACATCACGACCTGTATGAGTGTTTGAACTACTCCCACCGACTCTTAAAATGACCCGTATAAACAGATTTCAGCCGGCTTAAATTGAACAACAAAATTATGAAAACAAATAAGATTCAATTAAGCGACAATCATTGAGTCGAAGAAATACCCCCATAAATCCAAACGTACTTCGCGAAAGGGAGGGCCAGCACGAGGCCTCGAGTCATTAACAATCTTAGGAACAAATAACTCACTTTCGGCCAAATGCGCAAAATTATTCAAATACTTTTTGAAAACTGATCTTCAAAAAATAATAAAACTAAGATTGCACGTATCTTGTGCAAATAGCACAGATGGTTCCAATCACAGTACTAAAAAATTGTGTTTTTCACAAAAAACTCAAAAATTTATATTCCTTGTTTTTTGAAGTTTTTGGGGTATAGTGCTTAGTGAAATTTCCAAAACTGCTCATTCAAGGTAAAAATTCATTTCGTAGAAAAACCTGATTCACGCTTTTTACTCACTGGCTTTAAACGCTCGCAATTCGGCTATGAACCCAAAAAATGAAACTGGTTTTTCTGGACATTGTAAACATAGCCAACACATAGCCAACATAGACGGTTGGAAACGAGTCAAGGAGCGCAAGTAATCAGAAAAAAACTGACCTGTTAGTACAAAAAAACTCAACGTTCGAATTTAAAGGAAAAAAGATGCCATTAAAGCGTTTTGAATTTCTAGAACAATTTATGATTGGCACTTTATTGATGAAATTAACCTAACTTGAGAAATCTGGATCAACATAAATAAAAAATTTTGCCTTATTTTCCTGAAAGAGTTTGCCTTTCTTTTAACAAAAAAATGAAATGAACTCAAAACGAAATTAAAAGTCAAACGGCAAAAAAGTAAAATTGAGCCTGAACAAGTTTTAAGACTTTTCCTAAAAAAATCATCCCAAACTATATAAGAGCCTGAACTACGTTTATTGACTCTTTAAAATCCTCACACAAAAACGTTTTTATATTTTTACCAAACGGAGAAAAAATGTTTCTACTCACCCAAACATTTCTCATTAAACAAGTTCATAGTTTAACAAAGAACTTACGGCGAAGAACAGGTTGTCAATTCTGACTTTGACGTCCTTGATGGTGTATGTCACATGAATATAGTGCCACATGCCATCATTGAGCACCCTTCTCTCGCTGGGCTTGAAGAAGCGGTAGACATGGCGACGGAAGCCATTGTGGTAAGAGAGCTCTATTATACTGTCGGCTGCAAACACACACTTAGCCGAATTTACGTAGCTGAATGTAATCATGATTATTCAAATCAGCACTGAACTACAGCGCTGTAATATTACTATCCATCTCTAGTCAGTCTTACCTGTCTGGTCGCTCTTGACGAGACTGATTTTGAATTCATCGGTGTTACTTCTCGGAAGGTAGAAGTTGTTCCCATCTCTGTCTCTCAATCTAAAAAAAAACACAATCTCAAGTATTTGGGGGTCCAAGAAAAACGCTTTCGTTAATAATCATAATAATATTGTTTTCAGACTAGCATACCAGTAATGATTGCTATAAACCGCATTTACAACAATTAAACATTAGCCTGAGAGATTGAAAAGATACCAGAAGGTCTCATGATGTTTTCAGGTATGTTTTCAGACTTTTCTGAGCGGAAAAATTAACTCCAATTTTCATCTTTTCTTTCATTCAATTTGCTGAAGAACCTAGAAATCTGCAAACGATTCCTACAAAATTTGTGCCTTTGATAAGTTTGGGATCTCTGTAACTATTCCCCCTTATTTCGACACAGAGGCGAAGCTGCGCACCGCAAACACTAGCGACAACACGACAAAAAAGCAGCTCTATAAAATGCAGTACGAAAAATTGAAATTAGCCTCTAATTAGTGAAACTTCGGCAACGTTTTCAAAAGATCTGCGACCATTCAGATTCTATAAAATTTGTAATACTGGAGATGGTGATTATAGCAAAAGTGCCACAAATAAGTGAACACTTCTTATGAGCACTTTTTTTTGCGAGCAAGGTTTTAAAAAAGAAGGTTCGTACTAATATACTTCTCGCAAGCAGTGTAAATATGCATGATTCGAGCATCCCTGAAAGCTGGTCTTTCGCGAATGACCTTACATCGTATAAGGTATTTTTTTGGTATAAAGATTGAATAAAATGTACAAAACACATCAGAAAAAGTGCTACTTCTCATTTACCTATCACTCTAAGATTTCACATGCACCCTTTGAATAATTATCAGCATCTAAAACCGATTTCTTTAAATTTCCCCTGATCTTTTCCACTACAGAGCCTTACTGGGAAAGGGAGGAGAGATGTCATCAATTTCACCATAGCCGATCCCACTTTGGGACGGCGATGACATTGCGAACCCTCCGAATGGGATCGAAGTGGGAATCGAACCCACGAACCTCTCGTTAAAAGCCGCGAGTCTTACCCATTGGGCCACGGGCGCTCAAATCTTTTCACTGTACCTGGGATAATTAAATCGCCTGCCTTTGTCACTGCCAGTGAACACCATGAACACTCCCTTGTCCCTTCTGGTCTTGAAGTAGAAAGAGACATCTACGGCGTATGTCGCATCCACTGCCGGGAAAAACATGGACGCCCGCTGGTCTCTGAACGAGGCTTGGTTCTGCATACGCTCTAAAACACACACCCTCACACACATTTATCAAATCTTTTATGTTCCATTAATTAGAATTTGATAAGTCTATTCCACGAACTTAGAAGCTATTCGAAGAGTTATTTCATAAAAACATAGACAAATTGGTTCCATAATCAACGTTTTAGCATACAACTTGGACGAGTTTAAATTTCAAGAAGAAGCAGACTTATCTATTCTTAAGACAATTGTCTTGAACTTAAACTACTCAATACAAACTACTAACTGTCTCCTGCACAGAACATGTGTCCTATCAGGAATCCTAGAGCCTTGTCTGTGTTCCTTCTCCCATTTGTGCCTCCCCCTTTCACCTGTCTCAGGGGTAGGTACTCCTTCTCCATCAGGTACCCCCTGTCGTCCACTTGATAATCATCCTGGTTCAAGTCTGGAGGAGCATCACAGTTGCAGCTGCAATGACACGTAACATACCAAATTACATATTATTTATATCAAATCAGTAGTAAATACTATCACACAAGCTTTGCTTGTGTAATGATGACAAACTCTCACAAGTAAATTTATATCAAACCAGTAGTAAGTATATGTTATTTTATCTCAAACATTATCTTATAATTTGATGTCTTCACAAGTCTCATAAACTACATCATGAATTATCTAAGGGACTCAACACACATTTTCAACAAGTTATTATATAGTTCCTAGTTACCGATACAGTAAAAAAAATACCAATAAAATCCGAGAAACGATTACAATTTTAAACAAGAAAGAGACACTGGCTAAGAAAAATCAACCTATTTGGAAAAAATTATAAAGCCGAAAACAAATGTCGATTTTGATTCCTGAAAAAGAAACTCCAATCAGAGAAAAACAAGCTTACATTAACAGAAAATTGAACAAAAAGTCAATTGGAAAAAGGTAAGTAAATTAAAATTGACAAAAAGTTGGGAAATGCATGTCATTGAACCATTTTAAAATTTAAGTCTTTGAATGAGACCGAAAATGTATCAATATTGGAAACTTATCAATAGCTGGAAGTGAAAAAATATTCAATAAAGTTTTTTTGACAAAAAAAACAAAATATGCAAGAACTAATGAGATATTCTATCTGCCCAAAAGGTTGCGATAAATACAGCCGATCAACAAACCCAACACAACATAGCTTTAAACCAATTTTGTTACTTCAACTTATATTTTTTTTTTACATTCAAACCGTTGAAACAAAAATTCTGAACATTTTTGATGTTTAGTTTTTTTTTCACTTTTTTAAAAAATCAAAGAGGTTGATTTGAAAAAAGAGATTACATTGATTTCCAAAATTTCAAATCAATCACTCTCATATAATAACAAAAAAGTGAAACGAAAAAAAAAACATTCGGAAAATAAGCCGACCTTCTAGCGGCGAAATTCTACCAAAAAATTTCGGAACAGAAAAAATAGACTTGAGAAAACTATCAAAAAGCAACCGAAGCCAACACCTGATATGCAAATACGACACATCAAACTAACCATGGTGTTCAGGGGCGGATCTAAGATTTTCTCGAGGAGAGGCGGATTTTTTTAAGCCGATCAAATTGATTTTTTCGAGCTCTGCCAAAGCACTAAAAAGTCCTTGTTTTGGCCAAATTTTGTGCACCGCAGGCAAAATTTTGAAAAAAAAACAGGCCAAAAAAGCGTTTTGGGGCATTTGCGGAATTTGTGCATTTGGGACGAAATGCGTAACTTCAAAAATTAGACTTTCCCCAAATACTTTCGTTGTTTCTCAAATAAAGTGAGAAGAGTAAAAATTTTTAAGATTTTGGAATTTTCCCAAAGACCTAGCCTTTTTCTTACACAAAATCAAGCGGTAGCCGCTTCTGCAGCAAAAATTCACGCAAACGCTTCATTCGATTGAAACTTTCATCAGATTTGATAAGGTAATTTTTGAGAATACTCAAAAAAGTTTCTATAGAATAGTCAATATTCAAAAATCAGTAACTATTTTCTGCTAAACGCAGAACGTGACCAGTAAAGTCCGGAAGATTCTCAAAACCGCATTTCTCGATTGAACACTTAATCTGAGAATTGGCTAGTAATTTTGGAGTCTAAAAAAAACTTCCAAAAAACGGTCCAATTTTCGGTACTTTCACTTTTTTAAAGCCCATAACCTTTTTCTAGCAGAAACTGGACGTAGCAAATTAAAAAGTAAAGCTTCTAACAACCTATTGGGTCGATTAAACCTATGATATCAGTTTGGGAGTATAGTTATCGAGAAAAAAACCAAAAAACGGTCAACAAATAAGAGAATTTACATTTCCGATAACCACAACTTTTTGTTTTTAAAAAATTGTGCGTGGCCGCTTATGTAGAAGAGATTCACCCAATCTGTTATTTCGATTGAACCCAAAAACCTAGGTTTGGCCGGGTAGTTCTCGAAAACATTCAAAAACGTTTGAAATTTTCTGAAGGCCATAATTTGTTTTTTCTTTTATTAAAAGTTTGGGCGTAGTCGCATATGCAAAGGAGCTTCCTACAACCCGCTCTTTAGATTGAACCCCAAATCTCAGATATAGAGATGTATTTTTTGGTCGAACTTACGAAGCAGCAAACACTGATTCACGCGCACTATTACTCTTGTGCCCAATGAAAGTGTAGCATAGCAAAGCAACCACTCGGTCAATGAACTGTTACGAATTGTGGCCCACCGGTCAAAATTAAATCACATTTTAACCGCCACGTTTATTTTAGTTCACAGGCACATTAACAAAGCTCTTCACTGATTCCTTTGTTCAAGATGATTCAATTTCCGAGTAATTTATAACAGGAACCAAAAGAACCAACTTGAATTTCCTTATTTTCTTCCGAGCCTAAAAAAAATAAATACAAACAACGACCCAACTATCTGTTAGTATTCCTATCTAATTCACAAAAACAAACAAAATGCTTATGAAATGAAAATTTCATACCACAAAAACAAAGCCAACAGAAGTAGAAGTTATGTGACAGAGCTAAAGGAAACCAAACAAACATTATTTCTTATTTCCGATCAAATTTCAACTTCTGTAAAACTTCACCTAATATCACCTTTCAATTTCAGGAACCTGTTATGATTGACTATTTTACAAAATAAATTATCCCAGAATGAAAACAAAGCCAAAAGCCCGCTGGAAAAGCTTCAGGAAATTAAAAACAAATAAATCACTTATTATGAGCTATGTTATTCAAAACTGAGCCTTTTAACACATTTATTTTTTTTTAGCTCTGTTTAGGGGCAGATTTGCCGTCGGCCCCCTCCACTCAGGGATTCGACCCCCGCCGACATACTAATTTTGAGGTGGGAGTGCCAAAAAAGCGCCTTAAAAAGTGCCCTAAAATTTCCAAAAAGTGCCTTAAAACGCTTTTTTTACCTGTTTTTTCAAAATTTTGCCTCCGGAGCAAAAAATTTGGCCAAACCAGGGTCTTTTTAGTATTTTGGGAGAGCTCGGAAAATCAAATTGGTCGACCTAAAAAAAGGTCGACAAAATGTACGAAAAAGTTCGAAAAGGTCGACAAAATGTTCGAGAAAATCCTAGATCCCTCCCTGGCTCTGTTATACAGTTTTAAGCTTTTGTAACGCTATTTTTGGAGCTCTGTAACACAAAGTTTTAAGCTCTTGTAGCACTATTTTTGAAGCTCTGTTAAACAAAGTTTTAAGCTTTTGTAACGCTATTTTCGAAATTCTGTCATTCAAAAACTTGAGCCGCCGCGTACGACTCTGTTGACTGTGCATTACTCACTAGTACTCGCTCCTCACACACTGCTGTCCGGGAGTCATGGCACATCCACACTTGCCAGAGTGAGCAGTGGCATTGCCCCAGTTCACCATCCGGTAGCCCTGTCTCGACACCCACCACGCGTACGGGGGAGAGTTGGAGGGCGAGTTGAGCAGCTTGGCCCCGTTGTAGCACCTGAACGAGAGAAAGAACAATTCAGTTCTCGTCTTTATACATGTTTCTACTATCAGGACTTCATTTTGGAAGAAACTTATAAGGATAGACAGGGTAATATGGCCAGGGCGTCTCAAAAATCGCTGGCACCGATATTCGCACTAATAATGAATGCCAGGCACTGATATTTCGCAAAAAAAAACATCCAACTTTTGACAAAATCTAGCACAATTAAAAATTAAAAACTAGTATACAAGTATGGATAATAATTAGTTGGACGACCAATTTGACTTTTAAATCTTGGTTTAATCCAAGTTTAGCTGCGTCCGACAAGAACCTTTCTGGCAACTATATGTCAATGATTAATTACACATACCTTGCATGTATGTACTGCATGCAAGTGTTGGACATGTCAGCTAAGTATCCCAGATGGTTGATGTCGGTGGCTCCGTAGCCGATGTTGTACGTGTACCCCCCTGGTTCACTCACAGCTGGGATGTTCACTATGGCTCTATGTGCATCGTTAACTTTCACAATCGTCACCACTGAGAATGTACCTGTACACAGAGAGAGAGTCAGTCAAGTACTCGGAAGTATACATTTACATCATCATCATTTGTTATTTTAGCACATTCATATATTCTCTCATTATACATTGAAAGATGCAGCTTCAAAACTGAGGAATTAGTCGAGTTTTTACTTCAGAAGAACCATTCATGCTCTAATGTGAGCTAGGTTTCGAAGAGTAATTTAACAGCTGAATAATTCCAAGTGAGCGACATCTTTCCGGTTTCACATTTTTCAAACTCATTTTACAATGGGAATTTTGGCCTTTAGGGTGTGAGGGGATCAATTTTTTGAAGATGTATTATCCAAACCCTTCCCCTAAATCCACTACGGCATTGATTACTCATCAGAAAAAAAATCGTTTTCGTACAGCGTAAAATATGTGCCCTTTATACAAAAACGATCATATTTTGCTGTCGAATAATCAATGCAGCAGCGGATTTAGAGAAGGACAAGGTTTGGATACTACGCCTCAGCGGAATCGAACCCCTCACACCCTCAGCGGAATCGAACCAACAATTTCTTCACTCGAGAGTGACTCTCAACGTACTTTGAAATACAATTCTTAAATATATTCTAAAGAAATAAACAAATCCATGTTCTGTTAATTTGCGTGTTTCGTTATTTCGTCTGGCTTTGAAATGTAATGCGAGGTCCTCTTTTGTCTTTATAATATAGAAAAACTAAGGAGAACTATTCATTTCGAGTCTTTCAGTTTTGAAAAAAGTTTCGTCTAAAAAAATCTATTCTTGGTATTCAGGTTCGCACTTTGTTTCAAAAAATACCGAAATCCACGGCGCATCTATTCAGCTACCGGAAACATTTGGCAAATTACGAAGGTTACTTTTAGAGAGAATCAATATGGCTTGAAGCTTGTCTATCTACACTAGTTATCTTCTCTGATTGTTAATTATAAATAAAACTAACTACAATAAGAAGTTAATAAAACAATACTAACTGTCATCTGTTTTGTAGAAGAAGGACAACTTGTGAAGATACTGCATGGGCAGTCCTAAAACAAAACGAACAAATTATGTCCAGATCAAGTTGAACAGGATTGAACTTCAAAACACCTTTCTGATTCAAACACACATTGCATCAAATTAAAACGGTAACTATTTCGATCAAAAGACATTTACGATTACAAAGTCATCAATGATATTATTAGTATTACTATTTCGACACCAACTTCCAACATCATTAAGTTTTGCATAAATCAAATAAGCCGAGAAATAAGCACTTCTAAGACTTTTCACTTACAATAAAAAAAGAATCATTTGTGGTTTGAAAAATTCTTCTGCTTATATCCTGACAAACATAGCCAACAGACAGTTGGAAAAAAGTCATGAACAAAAGGAAAAAACAGAGACTAGTTTTTTGAAAAAATTTCAACTTTTTAATTTCAGTGGTAAGATAAATAATTTAAAAAAGTGGATGCAAACTGTTTGACTGGAATTTTTCCAAATATGAGAATTGTATGGCTAGTCATTGCATGGAACTCTAAGACTAATTGTTCCGACCATTGAAAATGGGGAGCAACTTAGTATCGGGTGTTTTGGTTTTTTGTGCTTTTTGTTTTCCACGCAAAATCAGGTACCACAAACAATCACCGGGCTGGGTTGAGTGATATATCATATTAAAGTCCTTTCAGTCGTGATTCGAACGACATAAAAAATTTTGGAATTTTTTTCACAGTGCTGAGAAAAAACGGATTGAAATTTTTGATCTAAATTCGAGCTAATAAGGTGACCGCATATGCTTACAATAGCTTATTTAAGCTTAAATTCAGCCGTGAAAACTTATTTTTATTCAAACAAAGGTAGTTTTTGGAAATTTTAGCGCAATTTAGAGAATTAAAAAATGGAAAATTCAAAAAAAATGGAAAATTTTATCGAGCGATGGTTTTTTAGGCCGACCAAATTGATTTTTCGAGCTCTTATAATTCACTATAAAACCTTATTTTGACCAAATTGACGACGCAGGCAATTTTTTTTAAATAGGGACCAACAGCGGACGTTTTTGGACACTTTTTGGAAATTTTTGACCAAACCACCTCTTTGGAATTTTTGACCAAGCCACCACACTTTTTGGAAATTTTTGACCAAACCAAGGCCATTTTTTGAAAAAGTTGCAAAAGTGCTTTTAAAAGAAACTAAAATCACAATTTCATCAACCTTATAAATTGCCTGTTAAAAAGTTCAGTGTCGGTAAGCCAAAAAGAGTAAAAAGGGAAACCACAAAACAGCATCAAACTACCTTGTTTTCTCGCCTTGAAAACCCTTTCAAATGTTGGAAGCAGGAACCACGACATAAAAAGCTTCCGTATGCAACCAATATCAATCCTTTTGTTATTTTTTTACGGAACTTCTTTTTGCGTGCAACAACCACACACCTATTATGTTTCTCAGGACCTGAAAAATTAAAATCTTGTTGAAAAGATTATTTGAATTTATACAGAAAATAGCTGACAGACTGTTGCAAAAGCAATTATGAACTCAAGAAACCAAAAAAAAACAAATGAAAGTCGCTCTGAAAGAATAAATCCTTTTATAGAATAAGAAGACAAGAAAAACCATTAGCCTAATTGTTGTGATAAACTTATTAAATAGTTTCAGAGAAAGAAAATGAATACCATTGATAAAGATTCTGCGAACGTTGAGATGCCACCTCTCAAATTTCATGACCAGACCCCTGTCTGCTCTAACCCATCTGCCAAACGAACTTGCATTGAATTGAGCCCGTGTGGAGAGGAATCATCTATTGAAGATAAACTGAATTTAGCAAAGAAGGTCGAAGGTGCAATATCAAATTCAGTTAATGGGTTGATCCCGAAGTTGCTTGGTGACATCAAAGTGCAAATCAAGGAAGTTATAAATTTGGCGATAACAGAAGCAATATCAAAAGTGAAAGATGAACTAATGATATGGGTAAAGGGCGAAATATCTCACAACGAAAAGAAGGTCAATCTGAAAACACGGAATATGAGTTGTTAGAGAATTACAACCGCAGGGATAATGTGAAAATTCTCGGGCTCAAAGAAACAAATGACTGGCAAAGGGAGATGATGGAAACAACAATAAAAAAAGTTGTCGACATAAGCAATGCACTAGAGGCCCAAATATCAGAGAACGATATATCTATTGCGCACAGGCTACCATCTCGAAACGCCGGCAACAAGCCAGTAATTGTTGGACTCGCCAGAAGAATAAAGAAAATCGATCTCCTAAAAAGAAAAAGAATTTGGTAAACCATGAAGATTTGAGAGATATCAAAATATTCGAAGATCTAAGTGCTACAAGAGTCAATTTCCTCAAAATCATGAGGTCGGATGAGAGAATTCAATCCACTTGGACCCGCGAAGGAACTATTTTTTTCATTTGGAAAGCAGACGAAAAGTTGTACAAAATTAATGGGCTGTATGAAGGTGGTCAGTTCCTGGAATATAAATTGGATGTTGTTAGAAACTGTTTCAATGGTGTTTTCCGGAGCTCAGCCGAACAAATGGGATCTTAAAATGGATAAAGTGCAGGAACCAATTAGCCATAAAACTATTGATGCTACTGTTAACTTATTACTTTCTAATGTACGATCATTAAAAAAAACGACGAAGGTGTTGAAGCACTTTAAGTAGTCTCGAGTCTCCGATAAAAATTTACTATGTCTTACAGAAACGTGGCTTAGGGAAATTGATGATGTTAACTTGTTTAAAATCACAGGTTTCCATACCATCATAACTAATACCAGAAAAACTAGGTGGGGGAACTATGATACAGCTAGGCGATAAGGTTAACTTATTAGAACAGCTTGAGAGTGGCATTCCAGAATCCTTATCAATCCTTGTTGAAGTTAGTGGTAAACAATTTATACTTGTGTTGGCATATGTACCCCCACGATACGACAAAATTAAATTTGTCGATGAGATCGATAAGGAACTAGAGCGTCTTGCTCAGTATAAAGTACCGATAATTCTAACGGAGATATCAACATCGATACACTACAGAAAAATAAGTTACAGCAATCATATCTGAACACAATAACAGCAAATGGGTTCGAACTTTTGAGTAAATCTGCAACTCGAATTAGTGACACATCTGAAACTTGTATAGACCATTTTATAATCAGGAGCTTAGAAAATCCAACCATTGAAATATTAGATAATGAATGCTTCTCTGATCACTATCCCATAATATTGAAATTTAATTTTGGCTTTAAAGGTGATTTATCAAGTCATTCATATCGTGATATGCCATTCTTAACAAAAGAAAATAATATGAAGAATTTTTTTGTTAAGTTTGAAACAAAACTTAGAAGATGCAAACCTGATCAGCGATAATAACATAGACCTTGCGTACAAAAAGTTCAATCACAGCTTAATGAAATCTTTAAACCTTTTTGCACCATTACGTAATATGATACACAAAAAACTAAACTAATGCTCCTTGGTTCGCTAAAGGCTTGAAGAATTCGTTTATAAAAAGAAATCACTTATACAAATTGTGGAAGTCAGACAGACTGAATTATCTTAAAAAAGTTAACTTTGTTAACCAACGTCGAAAAGTCGAAAAACTTATAAGAATTGCGAAAAAAGATCATTACTATCAAAAATTTAATAATTGTATTGGAGACTCGAGACAAGTATTTAAAGTTTTAAGCGAAATAAATGGCAAGACCGCCAGATCATCAAAAATTTCAGCTCTCTTAATCAATAACAATAAATTATCTGACCCTGTTCTAATATCTAACGCTTTTAATGATTATTTCGCTTCGGTAGGAACCAAGTTAGCAAGCAAAATTGACCACGTGGGGCCAGTGATTAAAATAGAAGACGTAAGCCAATCTATGTATCTCTTTAATAGTACAATTTGTGAGATAATTGATGTGATAGATCGTCTGAAGCCCAAGCATACTTGTGGCATCGATGAAATTAGTAACCTTTTTTTTAGTTAAAAGCAGGTATGTGTTAGCACCTTATTTAACATACTTAACTAATCTCTCATTTTGCTCCGGTATGTTTCCTCAAAGCCTCAAGTATGCTCGGGTTTTACCTCTTCATAAAGCTGATAGCAGAATAATTATGAGCAATAACCGTCCAATATCACTTTTAAGTAGCTGCAGCAAAGTTATTGAAAAAATCATGCACTCTCGATTTTACAACTATCTTGAAAAGTTCGAATTACTGTATCATCGTCAGTTTGGGTTCAGGAAGAAATTTGCCACAGTTGATGCATTAGCTGAATTGACTGAAAGATTAAGACTAGGTGTTGATAAAAACATTAAATGTAGTTTCTTCATTGACTTAAAAAAGGCATTTGATACGCTGGACCATAAAATTCTTTTGAGGAAACTAGAATGCTATGGAGTACGTGGAAATTGCTACAAATGGTTCGAAAGCTATCTATCCAATAGGTATCAATGTGTACATGTAAACAACTGTTCATCTGATTGGTTGCAAGTAAACACGGGAATACCGCATGGCTCTGTTTTAGGCCCTCTCTTATTTCTTGTTTATATTAACGACATACAGCACGCAGTTTGCAATTCAAATGTGTTTCTATTTGCAGATGATACAAACATATCATGTCAAACATCTATCTATGAAGAATACCAGTTAGATTCGACCAAAATTTCTTCCTGGCTTAGTTCAAATAAATTAACCTTAAACTCAGATAAAACTACTTTAATTAATTTTACTAAGGATAGAAAAGCTTCCAATCTTTCTTTTGATATACTTGATTTTACTTTTCAGCCGAAACCTTTTTGCAAATACCTAGGTGTCATTGTAGATGATAAGCTTAAATTTTTTCACCATATACAGAATGTTCAATCAAAACTAGGTCGTCACTGTGGTGTAATATCAAAAATGAGACATTATGTACCAAGATCCATCCTACTGAAATACTATATGTCGAATATCAAGCCAATAATACAATATGGCTTGCTCTTCTACGGCGACACGAGTTTTTCTTTTTTAAACCCAATTTTGAATATGCAACGAAAAATTGTTCGCATGATCTGCTTCAAAAGGAAATTTGATACCATTACTAAATTCTTTTCTGATAATAAAATACTAACAGTTCATGAGCTATATGTGTACGATTTGATGAAGTTTTGTTTAAGATCACTAAACTAAAAACAAAAACATCCAACTTGTTTTCTCAATTCTTTGTTTACTTTAAAAAATTTTGCCTATAATACGCGAATTTCAGAAGGTCGATCATTTGTTCCACCATTCTGTAAGAATAAGGTAAAATCATGTTCTTTGACTAATAGGGGTTCAAAGTTATTGAATATTATGAGTATAAATAAGCTCTTACCTAAAAATATTGGATTGATGTCAAAAAATGGAGAATACAGTTTCGTCCATAAATTTAAAGATAATTTCATTTGTAGCAATTACGAGTTGGTGCAAAACATATTTCTTTGAATTTTTTTGTTTTTATTTTTAAAAAATGGTACCGGCTGGCTAAATGCTATCAAACACCCATTCTAGGGTTGCGATTCTATGCTGAAAATATGACCCTCCAAATCTTTGTAGTTTTCGAGAAATCGCATTTTTTAGAAAATTAAAAAAAAATGAAAAAACTTAGATTTTTTTTTTCATATGTTTTCTCATATTCTTAGTTCGTCAGCTGGAATGAGAATTGGCCAAAATGACAGGACTAGATGTAATAACTATTCCTTAATGGGGCCTTTTTTTTAGGGAAAAATAAATTGTTTTCCCCAAAATCCTAATTTTATTCGAATATAAATTTATCTGTATTACTTAATTGCAATCCTAATTTGTTCCACGGGTAGACGTCAAGTAGGCACATACTGCGCCTTTTGTCTATCCCCTCCATTTTGTTGATTTAATAATTTAAATAAATTGATGCTTGTATTATCAACTATATGGAGAAATAAATTCTTCTTCTTCTTCTATTGATTGAAATTCGGAATTTGAAAAAAACTGCACCAATTTCTTTCAAATTGACGCAAAGAAGAAAAAAGTGAACAATGATAACACAACCGTTTTTTTAAGAATTTTTTGATCCCACTTACTAAAAGAGTTAGCATCATAAGGTAATTTTTGAAAAAGTTGCAAAAGTGCTTTTACAAGAAAGTAAAATCACAATTTCATCAACCTTATAAATAGCCACATTTTCAAAGAGACTAGCTCAACTCAAGAAAACTGATCAATCGGTTATTTTTTTCCACGACAGTCGATATCCACTTCTGAAACTGATTGCCAAGCTTATTTTTGCAGCAACTTTGTTTCTGGAGATTATATTTGGTCTTCCAGTTAAACGCTAATTTGAGACCAGTTTGAAAAAAAAAATGAAAAAAAAAAAAAAAAAACAGAAAATAAATTTGGAGTGTCCAAAATTTGAGAATTTTTCCGGCAAAAAGGCAACAAAAGAAAAAATACTTAAGTATTTGACCTTGTTTATCGACACTGAAAAATCTAACAGATCTAAGGCTACTGGCTGTTTTTCTTAGAAGCAAATTACGTCTTCGGGAACTCTTCTTGAAACAAATTAGTGCAATAGAACTGGACTCAAAATCACTATCACGTTGAAAGCTGAAATTAAAATCCGAAGTTCAAAAACTCGGATCAACCAAGCTGAAAATAACACCAGTAAAACTGACCCAGTTAAAACCATAGAAAACTTAAGAGCTTGAAAATTCAGAAATAAGTTACGTCAGGGCTTATAACAAAAATTGAAACCTGAAGATCATGAGGTCGAGTGTAAAGGTGAGTAGCGCCAAGCGTGAACAATTAACTGTTCTACCTTATTTAAACAGAAAAATGGCAAGAACTAATTAACTGATTCTCCATTTTGTCGTAATTATATATTGACGAGCGAAAACCAATTGCTTAAACACAATTTAATTTTTGTTCTGCATCAATGCATCCAATGAACACAAGAACAGGCTCACAGTCAAACAAGGCACAATAAATACAATACTTTTAATTAAAATTTTCACTTTCAGAAAATGAATTCTGCGAGACTTTTCAAAATTACAATTTATATTCAGTTCATGTGTCCTCTACACCATAATTATAAATGCTCAAAACAAGCCACTCTAAACTTTAACTTTATATTTTAACTTCATGTTTGCATTTTATAATTAAACTCTCTTGAAAGAATTTCGCAAGACTTACTGGCAATGTCGTTGTTCTGTGCCGTGACTGTGCCCCCAATGTCACAGTCCACTAGGTAGGGAGGGATGGGTCCAGCACCGTCCACGTCAATGTACCTGTCCCCACTGGCTGTCTCGTTCAAGAACTCATACGCCTCACACGAGGGCAGGAAAGTGGACGAATAACACAGCTAAACAAACAAAAACAACAATATTTTCATCTTCCTTTGAATATAAACTTAGGAACTTTTAATTGCACTATATTAATGAAAATAGATATATTTTTTGTTTGAAATTCGAAATATGAAGTTTAACTAAAAAGTCAGTTTTTTCTGTTTTCTTGCTTTATTGAATCTTTTTCAAATTTTCCGTTGGGTATAAATGCTCATTATTATAGCGCAATTAGACTATACAACTGAACTGCACTATATTATGAAAAATAATTGGCAATTTTTTTTCCTATATGCATTCCAGTTATCGATGTCTTGAAAAATAGCCTTTTAACAAGGGTGTCTACATGATTAAAACCCAGACACAAAAAGTAGCACGGCAGCTAGCCCAAAAATTGGACGAAAGCCCCGGTTCGAAAAAAAATTCGACCAAATTAAAACTGTTTATGTTTGCCTGGAATGCGATTGATTTTGAAGAAAAATACTGAAAAATAACTACCAGTGTTAAATCAGCATTTTAAAGAAAAAATTCATCGATGGATACAGAGCAGACGAAATATGGGTATTGCCATAAAAAAATAACATCAGCTGAAACCATTTTAGTGGAAAAAAACTTTAAGTGAGAAACAAAACGAAAACTAATTAGCGAACATAGCCAACAGACAGCAGGAAAAGAGTCAATCGGATCAAATCGAAATTTTTTTATTTCACTGGGAAATTCGGTAACTATATTCCACTTTCGAAACTAGAAGTCGATCACCTTTTCGTGACCTTTATACTTTTGCTGTTCGATAGTGGAGTTTGCCTTCTTTTCAAAGAAAGGAATGAGCTCAACTTAAAAAGAAGTCGAAAGTCAAACCGCGAAAAAGTATTTTTGAGCCTGAACAAATTTTAGACTTTTCCTGAAAAAAGCGAAAAAAATCATCGCGACCTATATGAGTCTGAACTATATTCATCAACTTTTAAAAATAAATAAACTTAAAATTAAGAGCTTACTCACAACCACCAATGAAAATTTGTATGACTTAGCCATTTGAAATTCAGACATGCTCAAAAAACGCTGTCGCTAGACATTATGTTCAGCTGTCATCAGAACAGCCTGCTAACTGATTTGGATGAACTAGTTGTTATTGCAAGAAAAGTCTACATTCCGATTTGATAACGATAGCTAGTTCCAAGCGTAACAATACATAAAGCATTCAGTTGGCAATGGCCTAGCACTAGCTACACCAAGAATCATAAATAATAACAATTCAGAAATCTGAATATAGATTCATGTACTCAAATGAGACCATTTTCACCTATTTTTTTTCCTTCAAAATGTACATGTTTGATATTTCATTAGATTCCTAGGACGATTCAATCAATAAGCATGAGGAAGGAATTTCGTTGTAACTTAATAGGGACTAATAAGGACTGCAGATTTCAGAACTGTTTGATAGTAAATTAAACTGACGCGAGGTTAAACGGAAACACAGTGATCAAAAGAATTTGGTTGAGTTTTGAACCATTTAACTGATTTCGAATTCCAATAAAATTCACTTTGATCAGGCTGTTTCCAAATGACCCCTTGTCAGATTGATTTCATCTTACAATCCAAAATCTACTTTTATTCATGACTAAGCAGCTTCTCACATTTCCTTCCCGTCCACATGAAGATTCTTCTTGAACTTAATTAAAAGAATAAATTCTTCAGTAAAGAGTGTTCGTGATCTGATTCGCTAAGTACTCATTTCAATTTCAAAACCTGCATAAGTCAGAAAAACGAAAAATAAGAAAAATGCTTCAATACCAATTTGAGCAACCTAGAAAGCTTTATTCGCACATTGGCTATCGTTCGTGGTAGCATTCGCCAACCTCTTTTTAAAAACATATACTGCACGCATATTGACCATTTTGTCTTGCGGAGTTTATCAATTGGAATTTTGAAAGCTGGGTCAATTCATTTTCAATCAAAAAAATTGTTATGATGTGTTCATAAAAAACGATGATGATAATTTGAACTCATTAACAAAATACTTCTTAGAAGAAGACGTTTTTGGGAGAACCTTACATGCATGTACATATCGAGTGCGACAGTTTGAATTCAATTGCTCCAAAGTGTTGTTTTGTTGTTCTGATAGCGACCACTATTATTAATTGCACCCCTTATTACGCTGCTTTGGGTATCATGAAGATCAGCTTATTTCAGCGGACAGCTTTTTAAGTTCAAGTATTGAACGCATCCGATATGTTTGAGTTGACATGTTCAGACTCAATTATGATTCAAGCTTAATTGTCTACTGGTTACTTTTGCATCTTGAAGTCAATTTTTTTCACGATTTTGTAATGATAATTCCGGGACGACGAATCTGATCAATCTAAGTGAAGTAAGTGAACTAACTCTGTCGTTGTCGTACAGGGTGAGTGTACAGTCGCAGATGAAGTCGAACCAGGACTGGAAGCAGATGCCCCCATGGAAGCAGGGGTTGGGGGTGCACCTGTCCACTATGGGACACTGGTCCATCTTAGGCTTCCCGATCGCACGCACCCGACCACCTAATAGAACAACACACACTATACAATACAATCAATAACATCCATAAACACGAAGACCATTTAAACTATTCCTCTCCAATAAACTCCCCCTCCAATCTCACTTAAAAATGAAGGATCTCTTTAACTATCCCCCATTGCAAAAAGGGAAAACTCGTTACAAGGTACAACATTTGTATATGCTAAACAGTTTCATTAGTTCTTTAAAGGGTTGGATATTCAACTAGGCGCCAATTGCGGAGCAATAGTTTAAGTGATCCAGAATAAATTAATTCTCACTATGAACTCTCTTCACAGTACCACTGAAAAAAATGTGAACTTGTACAGTGCTGATTTAAATTATCCGGACGAAACGCATAAAACTTGAAATAAAAAAAATCTGAAATAAATTTGGCGGGACATTAAGTGATAAATGATGAAGACTGAAAATGAGAACTTGCTTAAATTTTGAACAAGGAAACCATATCAAATAAAAAACGATTGACATTTTTCATTTTTCTAATTTCGGAAAAAGAAACACCACGTTGAGGCTCTTTGAACTTCAAGCTTTCTGTCTGACACTTTCTTCATAAAACGAACCCATTAAGAGAAAATTAAGTCAATAAGCGACAGTGAATTCTGAAAATGAAGTCGATTTTTGAAACAAATCGACTTTATAATGCAGGCTACCCAATTGCATTCCATGCATGCAAACGCCATTTTAAACTGCACCTAAATAATGATCTGCAATAAAATTTTCTACTATGAGATATCAAAAAAATAGCACGTTTGAATACAAATTGAAATCTGCCTCCTATTTTTTGAAATAAAAACGAAAAAAAAAAGTTATAGCCAACAGGCAGTTGGAAAAGAGTCTATAAATGCAAGTTAACATAAAAACACTGACTTAGTTTTTGGATAAATCGCAACTTCCCAATTCAAAAAAAAACATAGCCAAGAGACAGTTTGAAAAAGTCAATGAACGCAAACAAACACAAAAAACATACAGACTTGTTTTTTTGAAAAAAACTCAATTTTCGAATTTCAAAGAAAAAATATACCTAGAAAGCTTTCTAAATTTCTGAAACAATTTATGATTGGCAATTTTTTTGATACAAGTAACCAAATTAGAAACACAGGCAAAGCTGCGCTTCGCAAGCACTAGGGAGAACACGACAAAAAACAGCTCTATAAAGGGCATTAAGAAAAAAAAATAGAAGTAAGCCGATGTGCGACCTAGAGATTATGAGTCACACTAGCCACAAACAAAGCAGCCAAAAGATACTATGAAAATTCCAATGCTACAGATCATGATTATAGCAAAGTTCCATCAAGTAAGTGAACACTTTTAATGAATACTTTTATCAGATTAGAAAACAAGAAGGTTCGTATTTATACACTAAAGCTCGCAAGTGTTAACAAAGGGTATGAAGTGAACTTAAAAAGAAATCAAAAGTCAAAGCGCGAAAACGTAAGCTTTATTTCTTTTAAAAACGCTCTTTCCGAGAACAGCCTCCCATAAAACAAAAAAAACGGAGGCAGGTCTTTATTTAAAAAATCGGCTGCGGAGGGGGTCTATCATGGGAAAGAGCAACTTAATAACCGGAATAAATTAATTCTCACTATGAACTCACTTCACAGTACCACTGAAAAAATGTGAACTTGTACAGTGCTGATTTAAATTATCCGGACAAAACGCGTAAAACTTGAAATAAAAAAAAATCTGAAATAAAATTGGCGGGACATTAAGTGATAAATGATGAAGACTGAAAATGAGAACTTGCTTAAATTTTGATTGACTAAAAGAAGTAGGAACTAACTATCCATCCGTTTTTGGGGTAAAATTTAGGCCCAAGTTTCGTAAACCGAATTGCACCATAATATTTCTAAAAGTTTTTAACAAGTTATGTCTTCATTATTTTTCACCTAATGTCCACCCAATTTGAGAAAAACTCCTTTTAAATTTCAAGTTTTATGCGTTTCGATGGATAATTTAAATTATTGCACGGGTAATCATCACTGTATAACACTAACCTGTAAGTTTGCATCGTGAACAATGCTCGCTAATGTTTGGCTAAAAATTCTTATAACTAAAAAACTCATAACTAATTTAAAAACCTAAAACACTTTGATACACAGCTTTGAGAGATTATGTAAAACATCGTCTGAAAATGATCCCAGCTGCCCTACAAAAATAGTTTGTCAATTTAAAATAGAGAGACACTCGCCTGAAGGTAGACTCTGATCTCCCAAGAGTAGTCGTTGGAGTGAAACTTTCTGTCCATTCACTTGCAGTGACTTCAGACACCCTATGAAGCCCCACATGTCTGGCTTCAGTTTCTCATCCCCAGTGCCCTCTGAAACACAACATGTATTGGATTGTTGGAGGCATTTTAAAGACAGAAGCGAAGTTCCACTTCGCAAACGAATCAAAAACGGACTCTTCTCCACCCCTCCCCCTTAAAACTCAAAATTTTTCTGTGTAATAGAAATGCTATTATTGCGGAATCCTTGATTTTTTTTGCTAAGTATGAGGAAACAATGTGCTCAGAACAGTGATTTGTTCTCCTTCAGCTTAATGAAGTTTCCGCCAATCATTGAATACGTTTTCTTGCTGAGGTTTTTTTTGCTAATGAACGCATAAATATATTTGTTTTCAATCAATTTTCTTCATTCCATAAGAGAAGACACTTCCCGCTTTTTTCAATTCAATATAACAAAATGATTGGATATCGCACAATGCCACGAGGGAATCCCTCATATCGAAGGACCGAATGCGCGAAAATAAAAATCAGCCAATCAGATTTCAGTAATCTAAAACTTGGAAATAAAGTAAACATTTCCAGGGACTGGAGTTTTGATATTGACCGAATATAAAAACAGCAGAAATAAGCAAAAATTTCAAATTGTCACCGACTGCCGCCGAATTGGAACAAATTTAATATTTCAAGGGTTTCGTTATGAAAGAATATGAAAATATTGCTTCATTTAATTGAATGGCAATTGCTTTTTTTTTAAATTGACTTTCGGCTAATTTTGTTCCGCACGTTCGGCACCAACTAACTGCCTCAATTTCTAGAGCGGACGCATTTTAGCTAGTATACGAAAAAGTTCATTAAAAACATCCGACCCTGCCCAGGTTCGAATCCTCTTATTTTGTTACTGGTATCATTCCCTACCTCTACGCTACAGATCCATGATACCTTGAAGCTTCAGTGCTATTTGTAATATAATAGTCCGTGTTAATATCCTTAGTATTGGCTGTACTTAATAGCTGGTTATTGATCAAAATGAACACTTTCAAAATGAACATATTTGTTTGTCGCAGCAATATTTGCGACTTAAGATGGAAAAAAAGAAAGTTCATAGTATATAACACAAGCTTTGCTTGTGTAATTAAATCATCAACAAGTGAACTTAGAATCAACTGAAATTTAATCAGGTATTTGCGCCATTCGATCTTTCGTGATAGAAGAGCGTAATTTGCCAACCATGTAACAAATGAATTTTTAGTGAATTTTAACGATAAACGTGAAATATCTCCAATATTCTCATTCATCCACCAAGGATTCATTGGTCAATCTTTTCGCTAATGAACAAGGAAACCAAACCAAATAAAAAACTATTGACATTTTTCACTGACTTAGTTTTAGGATAAATCGCAACTTTCAAATTTCAAAAAAAAAACAGCCAAGAGACAGTTTGAAAAAGTCAATGAACGCATGCAAACACAAAAAAAATTCAGACTGAACTTTTTCTGAAAAAATCTCAACTTTCGATTGGCAATTTTATGATACAAGTAACCCAATTAGAAACACAGGCAAAGCTGTGCTTCGCAAACACTAGGGAGAACACAAAAAGCAGCTCTATAAAGGGCATTAAGAAAAAATAGAAATAAGCCAATGTGCGACCTAGAGATTATGAGTCTCAAACACTAACCACTCAGTCACGGATGCTTAATAGTTCACAAACACTAGCCACAAATAAAGCAGAGAAAAGATACTATGAAAGTTCCAATGCTACAGATCATGATTATAGCAAAGTTCCATCAAGTAAGTGAACACTTTTAATGAATACTTTTATCAGATTAGAAAACAAGAAGGTTCGTATTTATACACTAAAGCTCGCTAGTGTTAACAAAGGATATGAAGTGAACTTAAAAAGAAATCAAATGTCAAAGCGCGAAAACGTAAGCTTTCTTTCTTTTGAAAACGCTCTTTCCGAGAACAGCCTTCCATAAAAAAAAACTGCGGCAGGTCTTTATTTAAAAAATAGGCTGCGGAGGGGCGTCTATCATGGGAAAGAGCAACTTGAATATGAGGAAATATCTGCAAACGTGAACAATAGAAAGAGTCTATGCATATGATAAGTCACATGTACTGTTGATTCCTTGCGGCGGTAAACTTAAAAGTCAAAGCTGCACAAAATCAAGCAGCCATTAGTTGATTAACTCAGCAATTGCATAGCACTGAATTAAACAATCAATGGTTGCTGGGTTTTCTGCAGCTTTGACTTTTGCGCTAACTGCCACAATGAATCCGTCAGCACATATGACTTCTGATCAGCACAGAGTGCATGTTCTCTAACTGCTCATAGTAAGTGACTCACTCTCGAAGTATCCCCCGAAGTGGTAGTCCCTGGAGGGGGTGAACTCGGGGAAGAGTCTGTTCACTGCGAACACCTCCTCGTCTATGATGACCACAATGAAGTTCTCGCTGAACTCCAGCCTGGTCTGGTGCCACGCGCCGTCGTTTAGATTCGAGTATCCTACATTGACAACAAACAAATAACAGTTGACAGAGCCATATGAGGAAGGAGAATACAGGACTGGTTGAAACGTGTGTCTAATTCTCAAGAGAGCAAACCACTCAGGTTCAGATTACAGAAATAGTTGCTGAGAAGCTTCTCGAAAAAAAAACAAAAAATTCAACTTTTTCCCCAGCCCGGGCCATGAACTTTCTTCTCACTATTGGTATTTAATGAACAATACCCGTTGCCTTTATAACTATTAAAGCAAAGTCATATTCACAGTATTTACGAATCGTATGCAGACAGGGTTGTAATGTTTAAAACGCCATATGTTTTAAAGAAAGTTTAAAACAGTGTTTTAAACGTTTGTTTTTAATTGCTGTTTCTTATTATTGTTTTTTATTCAGCTTTTTTTTTTTACAAAATACAAGCATCGAAGACTATGGAATTTTCCCGCAAAACAGTGATGTGTTGTTGATTGGATGCAGTTTTGAAAAATTTCCTGAAAGAAATCGACTCGGACCACAGAGTTTCAAATTAGCTTTCTTCTCACGTGTTCTCATTGAGAAACACTGAGTTTATCCGAGCAATAAAGTTTAGATTTTAAACAGTGTTTAAAAACGTTTTTTATTAATGCGCAGGCTCGGGGATTGTCAACTTGCCAAACTTCACTTTCCTCTTTTTTAAGTTTAAGTTTTAAAATTATTTTTTGTCAAATTACAAGAGCATGAAAAACTAAAACTCTGCCATTCATACAATCGGTCAAAAAAACTTGCTATGCGAGAATTGTACTATCAAGGTCTCAGCATGTTTGCATGATTCTAGTTTTAGCCGACCGAATATATATTCGCTCTACATAAAAATAAAACTAATTCGGTGTGAACACTTATAAGAGTAGAACTTATGTGGTCGGTAGAACTTTTCACGCATCTGAATAATACTTATTTAATACCAACGATAAAATATAATATTGCAGTGACGAGTTATTAGTCATTCAACCATATTTAAAACAACTAACTCTGAAATTCGGAAGTCCTACTTGATTTAACTTTTAGATTGAGCATTATTAAGACAAATCATCATTCTCAACTTCTCAAAATGATCAGATTTCTTAAAATAGATTTTTGTACAAGAATCCAAATTTTTGTCAATTAAATTCTTTGAAGAATTCACTTGAGTCTTTGCTACGTGATGATCAATAATGCAGTTCGTCAATAGTAAGACTTTGTCAACTACGTTAAGTTTATATCTGTGAATAATGTATGTCAGCTTTAATTGTACATTCTACCAATAGTATTACTACGCCATACTTAACGCCTGGCTCTTAGCATCACAATTTCGCGTATCAGAAAATGTTCTATCTATTAATATCAATTAGCTTAGAAACCGAGCACATTACAAAACTTTGTGCGTAATAAATAACTATTTTTTGTAGCGACTATTCGAACAGATAACGTAAGGCTACAAGCCTGATTGCAGGTGCCACTTCAGAAAAATTTGGAAGAAAAAACTCGATATTTCTTGTTTTTTGTTGATTAAACCTTAAAATCACTCAAAATCGGTTTTTTGTTGAAGTTTTGTCTGATCATCAATATCCCTGATACAGGTACGCCTCTATGTTTAGCGTATGTCAGTATTATTAGTACATTATTTCTTGGTATAACAATTTCGTGGTTCAGTGAACAATTTATCAATTAAAATGGTAAACTGTCTGTCGAATCGCGAACTATTCACTGTCCGTCTCCACTTAAACATGGCCACCTACCGATGCGTGCAGGTCTGTAAGGAGTGTCGTCGTTTCTGATGTAGATGAGAACTTGGAGGAGTCCCTGATAGAGTCCGATCTGCAGGTATCCCTCCGAGTATCCATTGTAGAGAATCAGTCCTGTCTCCTCCCACGTGCGGAATGCAAACTCAACCACAAGGAACGGCTGCAGTTTCTGGCAACAAAAAAAAACAATAATTAAACACGCTTTTCAGATAAGCCTCAAGTTTTGTTTTAGTAATCACAAAAAAGCTCACAGACGGTTTTCTGGTCAGGGTCAAACTCTCAAAGTTACAAGCTACGAGGAAAAAATAGGTTGGTTTTTCTGTTTTCTATAGTTCGGAAACATTTACCGTCTTTTTTCTTAGCTCCGACTTTCAATGAAAATGATGGAACGATTAACCATTATTAACATTACAACTAGCCCGTTTTAAACAGCTCAAACTTAACTTGCGATACCAAATTTAACTAAGATATATATACCTGCTACTAACATTTTTCGTAGATTTTTGAGGGTTGAAAATAGCACATTTCGGATCATTATTGTGTGCTATATTTCCACGCATCGATGAAGTAGAGCTTCATACCATTTGCGATACTACTCAAGAGGATTGAAAGCTAGCAGACAAAAAAAACGAAAGCCAATAGTTGACACAGACGAAGCAGAACTTCGCACCACTTGCGATTCAACAAACATAAAAAAATTTCAAAAAGGTGAATCAAAATTTTCGTAGGTCTCGATTGAAGATAACTAGGAGTCCAGCTGGAAAAACTTAATTGCTATTTTAAAATTTGTCATACTCATGCAAGATGCAATGGGTAATTTCGAATTTTCAAAAACTGGACTTTGCCCAAAACCTTGTTCCTCTACTTAAATAAGTGAGATAAATGTTTTAAAAGAAAACCTACATTTTGTAACAAAAAAACGAGGAGTCCCCGCTCCAGCAAGAAGCAATTTCGCAACCAGTTCGTTCCAGGAAACCCTTCATCTCAGATTTAATTTAAAAAAAACATTCATCCCAGTTTCACAAAACAGTCAAAAGCTGAAAAAGACGGTTTTCCGAATTCCATCTATATTTTTTCGCAGGCTATGGCCGCTTAATCAGACAAGATTCCCAGAACAAGGAACAATTAACCTGAGAATTGGCAGTGTAGCTTTCGAAACAAGTCAAAAAAGTTCCAAACAACATGATTTTTTTTGAAGGTCAACTTTTCAAAAACATGACATTTCCAAAAATCCTAGCTTTTTGTGTTTAAAAAATGGTCGTTGCCGATTTTGCAGAAAAGATTCACACAACCTGTCATTTTGATTGAACCTAAAAATCAGATTCGGCAGTTCAGCTTTCGAGAAAAGTCAAATAGTTAACGGTGAAAAAAAAGGACTGTTCCTAGGGTCATAACTTTGTGTAAAAAAGATGGGTAAAACCGCTTATGGAGGGAATATCTCATATTTGGGTGGATAATTTGCGAAGGGAAAAATTAAAAAAAATGTCAAAAAATCAAAAATTTGAACTTTCTGATGGCAAAAACTTTTTGTATGAAAAAAATTGGGTGCGACCCCTGATGCAGTCGAGCTTTTCACAACTCGTCAGTTTCATTCAACCCAAAATCTTAGCGATACCACGGAAGCGCAGCATTGGAAACTAGCAAATCGTAAAGAAACGGAAATAACAAAGTCAAAAAAAAAGTTTGGAGAAAACAATAAAAAACACAACCAATATTATTAAATAAATTTTAAGCGTTAACCGAGCAGCCACTAAACTGACAAGTGGTAAAAGGCCCATTGAGTCGAAAACAAGAAAGTTCCATAAAAATGTCAAACAAATTTTTCGATTTATACCGACTACGATTGAACAATCAATTTAAATATTGATGCAGATCTTGGACCTCATGTCATTAACCTGTCTAGACAATGCCATAAATCTGCTGCTTTATGTTTATTCAAACTTTAATTCTTTCCCCCAGTGTTCTCTTTTACGTTTCCTTTTCTTTGGAGATCTCAAATTTCGTATTTCATTTGATAAAACAGGCAGTGCTCTGTAACATAATTGGGTTCGTTAACTGTCTCCTCACTGTTTCTGGTGCTTCATCTTTAAATTCTCGTTATATGCATATTTACTAATAACAATGAGAAATAAATTCTTTCTTTCTCTTTCTTTCGATACATGAAAATTCAGATAAAAATTACAAGGGGCAATTGAGCCGACAAAACTTAAACAAGTTCCCGTAGAACCGAAATTATATTTGTTGTCATGACAAACTTTGAACTACAATATTTTATCGAAGAACTATAGTATTTTGAGCGATCCAGAATAAAACTTATGCGTCCCTTAAAGTGACCCCAAATTAGGTCACAAAGCCGATAAAGTATAAGCCCTAAAAGCAGCTAAAATGAAAATTGCGTGCAAAAAAATCAATTTTACGATGTGGCAACTAAGCCGACGAAACATAAGCAGACAAAGTACAGACCGAAAAATTTTGAAAAGTAATATTGTTATTAAAAAAAAAACAGTTCCTGGACAGATTCGAACAGAAGGCATAGAAGTTTGAATTCATTATGAACCAAGAGTATACCAGAAAACCACTTAAATACAAGTGATTCTGTTAGACAAGTTGAAAACCCGAAAAAAGTCTATAGTCCGGTTTGATATCGCTTGCTAATCACAAGCGTAAAAAGTCGAAAAAAAAGTTATTATTTTAACTTTACAGCCTTAAACAATTTTCAATTTGGGAAAATACGTCCATCAAAACAATCGTCCGTGTGAAATAAATATTCAGGAACATTTATCCAGCGGCAGCAAAGCTGACAAAACTTGGGTGAACTACCGTTTTGTTGATGTTGATGTCATGAAATATAGGGAGAGTAAAAGTACAATTTCCACGAGTTAAATCAAAAACACTTGCGGCTACAAGGAAAATTGCTTACAGAGCAATAAAATTCTGTGATGTTGTCATTAACCAGACAAAACATACTCGGGCAAATGATAGGCCAATTTTTTTTGGGTAACTAATTATTTTATTGATCCAAATATTGTGTCAGTAAATGCGAAATATATCTGTAATATTGTACTTCACATTTGGTGGGGAAAAGGATTTGTTTTTCAGAAAAGTTTGATTGAATATTTCAATCAACAGACACATTTACTGCAGATACCTTTAAAGACATTCGGAAAAATCAAATCTTCGCCCTGCTGCGAGCAATCCTGGTGAATTTTTTTAAACCAGTTGAGCTCTGATTTAAAATACCTAATACGTAAACTCGAGCTTTTTCTTAGCTAAATTATAGAAAAAAATCGAAATATTCTGATATTTTATAACACAGAAGGTTCGTACTAATACACTAACTGCACGTAAAATACGCTAGTGTAAACAGGCACAAAATGTGAGACGTATTATATTATGAACCAGGCGGCGGTATTACTACTTACCTCTCGATTTCTGCTCAGATCTGCCAAGTAAGTTTCCCCTCCTCGGCGGGAAAACTGAGCCCCCTCAATGTACAACATGCTATCGTAGTCTTCAAACGTCACAGGGATAGCACCATCTTCGCGACAAGTTGAATACAGGAATCCTAAGATAAATAAAAACTGGAGTAACTTCGTTAGATTATGGTCGGAAATCATACTATGAAACAAAAAAACAGGGCTTTTTCTGTGCACAGCACGAAAAAAAGCAATGGAATGAACAGGTCTAAGAAACACAAACCTTCAGAAAAATTTTCAAAACATTCGATAATTTCGTTTAAATTTGTTCACTTATGATAGCTATCATTAACAAAAAAACCTTCCGGAAAACCAATTTCCAAAAGCCAAGATCCGTTGGACCCTTTTATTTGGAAAAAAAAAATCAGTTTCAGGTAATTTTTGCAAATTCTCAAACCCGACTTTGCTATCGACCTGACATTTTAATGACCGGCACTTTGCTGGAACAATTAAATCAATTTGAGAAAACTGGGTCAATAGGTAAACTTGTCAGTCCGCTGGAAATTCTCAACATTAGAATCCCTTTCTGAATTTAGAAGTGGATCACTTTTTAGTGACCTTTCCACATTTGCTGTTCGATAGTGGAGTTTGCCTTCCTTTTAACAAAAGAAATTAATGGAGCATTAAAAGAAATCAAAAGTCAAACTGCAGAAAACCAAATCATCGCGACCTATATTAGAGTCTTCACTTGGTTCATTGGCGTGAATGAAATGAAGCGTGCTCAAACAGCAAAGTTCAAATTACTTCATTAAAAATGAAATATTGAACGCAGTAGTGAACTCATTGAACATAGCCAATCGCAGCTTGGAAAAGAGTAATGCACGCAAGTAAACATAAAAAAACACTGAATTTCTTGAAAAAATCTTCGATTTTAAAAGAAAATAGATGCAAATTAAGCTCTTTGAATTTCTAGAACAATTCATGGCCGGTTCTTTTTTGATAACGTGAACTCAACTAGAGAAAACTGGATCAATAGGTAAAATTTTTAATCCGCTGGAAACAGGGTGACCACTTTTCTGAGAGAAAAATAGTGACTATGACAATTTTTAATGTTTCGCATTTTTTGTCGACCTTTTTTTTTGTTTTAGGTCGGCCAAATTAATTTTTCAAGCTCTGCCAAAGCACTAAAAATTTCTGCGCCGCAGGCATAATTTCGAATAAACAGGCTGAAAAAGTCAGTTTAAGGCACTTTTTGAAAAAAAAATGCGTTTTTTCGGCGCGCGCTCCCCCCTCAATATTAGTATATATTGGCGCCAAAGGCGCCTTTACAAAAATTCTAGGGTCCGTCACCAAAAACCGTTGTAAATAGTGACCATTGAAAAAATAGTTACCAATTAGTGACCAATAGTGACTGGTCACTAAAATAGTGACCAAGTGGTCACCCTGGCTGGAAATCTAAAAATTAAATTCCACTTTCGAAACTAGAAATCGTTCACGTTTTTTTGCGCCCTTTCCAAGTTCGTTTTTGGAGCGTGCTATTTACATCACATTCAGCAAATGAATTTAAATTGAATTCAAAAAGAGCATATATACCTAAAAGCATTCATAAATGCATCAATATAAAGGAATGCACATCTGTAGTTATTAGAGACTTTTAAGTCTTTTCCTGAAGAAAAAAAACAAAAAAATTAGCAAGACCTATATAAGAGTCTTCGCTATGTTCAATACTCTTGAAAATAGAAGCTCAATTTATTTCACACAGAACAAAAATAAACTTTTAGAATAAAGCCAACAATAACCTCAGTACTAAAAGAGGACACTTTATGCGCCGTCTTTTTCATCATGTTCCCCGTTCAAAATTTATGCTAATTGGTACCAGAAATGATAGCGTAAATAGTACACCGGTACGAATTTAAGTGTTGAGAGATCGCTGAATTTCCTAAATTTAGTTGTTAAAGTCCGTTACTGCTCCAATTATTGATCAGTCTTTCAATTAACTGAGCTTCGCCTAATAGCTCCCGGTCGATTCTTTTCCATCTTCTTCATCGAGTTCTAATTTTTGAATCAAACTGAGGAGCTCAGACTAATTGAATTGTCTCATCCGATTTCGGCTTTGAAGGAACTTAAGAAATGAGAAAAACTGAGACAATTAACATGGAAAAATGGATGCTTTTACAAAGCGAGCCGACATTTTGAATCTCAAAACCATGCTCTAATTATGTTGATTTAATTATATCTCAACTAAATGTTTTAGTAAAAACATTACTTATGTTTCAAAAAGTTCAATAAAAATTTTAAATATTACATTGAGCAAGAAGCTAAAAGACATTAATCAAAATCATCAAGCAAATTTCACATTCATCAAGCAATTTCTGAAAATCTAAATAGAAACAGCAAGATTTTAACCTGGTTATTTTTACCAACCCATTCAATTTCTTCAGACTAACTTCTAGTCTTATTCGCAGGCAAGATTGAACTTCAAAATTACTTTTTCTCGTGCCGTATGCCCCTTGGAGAAATTTAATACGGTTAACTTATGCAAAGGTTAGAATTATACATGCAGTGAACCTAATCTGAAAATCTTGACCGAAATAGGATAATTCAAACTGACATTTGCATCTTTTTTCAATTCATGCTCAAGTCGACACAATATTAGAATAATTCCGAAATCGATGAGCACGTATCTGAGTCCAAAAAGAATAATCGATTGATTACAATTCAACTTGCATGCTATAATGGGCTTAAGTTCTTGAACAATGCATCTATCTTCTGCTACTCTATTAGCAGGTTCGCCAAACTCGTTTCCGCATTTGCAATTATCGGTTGTTACTGCACTTCAAAACAACTTCGCCAGTCAAAAGATGCGTAAAAGTTAAAGACACTTTGCCAACAAGCTTTACTTGTCCTTCTGTAATGAATGAGGCGAACCAAAAAATTCATTTTCACAAAACTTCAGATTCTCGGCATTTTGAGCTTCGCCTAACTGACACAACTTCAAAACTGTTTCCAACTTGACGCTCTTGTCATTTTAATTAACACTGATCAAAAAATGTTGCACCATTCAGTATGGATTTATTCAAAGGCAAGTTAACCCTAGTAGCTTTGTATTGTATTCAAACGTCCCCCAAATAACCTCAAAGCCGCTCCAAGTACATAAGAAAGGATCAATGATTAGATGAACTTGGGTGTTTCCATGCTCGCACTTCGAAATAAATCAATGCAGCATGCGGTGTTAATTCAAACAGTCATCAGAAAAAAAACAAAAGAAAGCACTTGCAAGGAAAAATATAGCCTCAATCCTATTTGAATTACAAGATTTTTTTGTTATTGAAAATTTTTTATGAGCTTGCCCTAATTTGAGATAAATGGATTAAAAGATATTTTTTTGCCCCGCTGCGAAATCTTTGACTTGAAACTTCACAAGTTTTTTTAGCGCGTTATTTGAACTTGTATACAGTGCTGATTTAAATTATCCGGACAAAACTAACAAAACTTGAATTTTCAAACGCATTTTTCTCAAATTGGGTTAAGAATAGACAAAAAGTAAACAGAACAAAAGTTGCTTAGAATTTCATCAGAATTAATATGGTGCAATTTGTTCTCCGAAATTCTCAACCAAAATTTTACCCCAAAAATGGGTCATTTTGACTTTTTTCAATTAATCAAGAATTACGTTGAAACTACTTAGTTAATTGATAAGATTATTATATCACAAGAAGCCTCTTATACAGCCCAACAAAGTTTAAGAAGGGTTAAATCTCCAAAAACCAGTATAACATAAAGAATTTTCACTTATAACGTCACTTATAATATGGTGCAATTTGTTCTCCGAAATTCTCAACCAAAACTTTACCCCAAAAATGGGTCATTTTGGCTTTTTTCAAATAATCAAGAATTACGCTGAAACTACTTAGTTAATTGATAAGAAATAATTGATTATATCACAAGAAGCCTCTTATACAGCCCAACAAAGTTTAAGAAGGGTTAAATCTCCAAAAAACAGTATAACAGAAAGAAATTTCACTTGATAGTCAATAAATGTGATTTTTACTATATAAAACCCAGAATCTATTGTAAAAAAAATTCTTCTAATGCGTTTATTGTCCGTTTCCCCATTTTGGCGGGGTTGGACATTTGGAATGAGCGTAAGCAATGGTAAATCTGGATAGGTTGACAAATTCTGAGAAGCTTTCAAGCTATTCAATGGAAGATAATATGTTTTTCAATGTCATTCGATCAGGGCGGTCTATGGGTTTGAGGCTTAAAGTATTCAGGTTCTATTAAGCACAAGCGATCCAGCGATTTTAGATTTTAATGCTGGCACTCTTTCTAAGACTAAAACACGGTCTGTTGATTTTAGCGCATGGTAATTTTCTCTTCGGTGAACATGGCCAAACCATCATATCCGTGACCACACTTGCAGCTTGGCCAGATAAATAAGACCTGTTATTTTAATAACTGCTTTTTTCAGAGCAGTACAGTAAGACTGGCTGGAGACAAGCTCTCTAGACACGACACCTTGTAATCAAGCCAATATCTTTATTCAGCAGCAAAGGCGCAACTTACCTGCAGAAAGCTGCTACTCTGACCGATGATGCACTTATTGCATCACTTTCACCGCAAATTACATGAACTTATTGCATGCATTTACTGACCGGTACTTATTGGATCACTTTCTTTGCAAATTAGATAGCAGAACTCTATGAGAGTTCCGAGGGAGCAATATTTCAAACGATAATTGATTGCATCTTGGACAAACATAATTAGTATTGTCCAAGTATTTTCCTCAGACCACTGCATTTTCTATGAACCCATTGCTTACTAGAATTGCAGCGTATTGAATGAGCGCTGACTCCCTTTAAACAAGAAGTGCAAGGAAAACTCCGGTTTTTTGAGGAATGCACTTTTGGTCTGAAATGAAATGCTTTATCCTATACAAGTTAACTTTTAAACCTCGTTTTTGTAAAGCCTTAATTCAATTATTAAAAGCCTCAATAAAATGAACTCAAGATAACAGAACAAAAAACTGACTTGTTTCTCGGAAAAACTTACTTTCGCCAAAAGATGGCCTTAAAGCTCTTTGAACTTCTTAAACCATTTATGACACAAATTTTTTTGATAAAACTAGCCCAATTTGAGAAAACTGCATCAATTGGTAAAATTTTATTTCGCTAGAAAATTCAACAAGTGAATTCCACTTTTGAAGCTAGAAACCGGTCACGTATAGTGGATCTTGCCTTCCTTTTAACAACGGAAAGGTACTGAACTTACAAAAAATCGAAACCGGGACAAAATAAATTTGAGCCGCAACAAATTTAAAGACTTTTCCTGAAAAAAAACTAACAAAATCGGCAGCACGTCCTGTTGAGATTCTAATCAAGATCCTTTGCCTTCCCAGGAAAGTAGAAAACACTTACTTGTTTTTAGAAAAAACTTCATTTTTCGAACTTCAAAGAATGCCCTTGAAGCTCATTGAATTTCTCGAACAATTTATGATTAGCACTTTTTTGATAAAACTAACCCAATTTGAGAAAACTGGATCAAAAAGTTTAACTTTTATTTCGCTGGGAAATCTGAAAATTAAATTCAACTTTCGACGCCAGAAGTCGATCGTTTTTCATGACCTTAACACTTTTGCTGTTCGATAGTAGAGTTTGCCTTCCTTTTAATAATGGAAATGCAAAGAACTTTAAAAAAATCACAAGTCAAACCGCGAAAAAAAATCGAGCGTGAACAAATTAAAGGAATTTGTCCCGAAAAAAAAACAAAAAAAATTACCAAGACCTATAAAAGAGTACTCACTACGTTCATTACTGTGAAACAAAAAAACTCCGAAAAACCTTTTTTTGGGTTTTGTCCTTGGTTTTTGTCCAATTTACGCAAAGTCCAAACCAAATCTTACGTTGGTCAAAAACTCTATATTTCCTTCGTGTTGCTAATTTCTAACCTTTCATGCCGAAAGCGGCATTCTGTTTTCGCTGCACTTCTGAAATGACCTGATAGCCGTTCACATTCAGATTCTCCACACACCCTTTGAACATCATAGAGACTCCTATTCCGGGTAGTGTGAACCGATCAGTGCCCCCGAAGGTCAGTCGCGTATCGATATTCAAGTTCTCGAAACTCCCCTTAAACGCCAAACAACTATAAAGACTTCAGTTAAAAGATTCCAACTGCCCTTACATCTCCGCTCATTAAAATGTTCAAATAGAAAACAAACATAACACAAAACTTCAATGGCAAAGCCCTCGAAACTGATTACCACAACAAAAATGCAAAGAAAAGTAGTTTGAACCCCTCACGCTGCTCCAGTATAGCAAAACATTGAGTAAAAAAGTTTCGCCTCTTTACCGTTTAAGCTCTCAGAAACTTTTAGAATAACTAGGCGACAAGTTTCATATCATAGGGTGGGGGGACACAAATTTTCTGGAGTTAACAAGGAATCTAAGCTTTTTTAGGCCCCGGTCCAGCTCCCATTTTTCAACCTTGGACCTTTTATTCCGTGGGGGAGGGTAATATCATCTATTTTGCTGCAGCCGGTCCCACCTTGAGGATTCGCCAACCATGACCGAAGCGGGATTCGAACCCATGACCATAGTGTTAAAGGACGCGCGTCTTACACACACTCGAACAGGGCTGCTAAGGCATTTAAGTCACCTTAATCATGGCGAAAGTCGCGTATCCGTCTAGACTGACAGTCAATCCTCTGCCTACTCTGGAGACATTGAGCCAGTGCCACTGCGAGTCATACAGAGAGTTGCCCACTTTGACCATAGTTTTCCCATCTATCCTCGCACTCGAGCCCAGGTTGATATTGACAACTATCTTTCCCTGCAGAAGCAACACAATTTAATCACTTCCATGATGGCCTCATGCAAATTCCCACTCTCGCACAATTAAATTTCAGCACAATTTGGGCTGGAAAACAAGATGACACAACCAGGTGTCTATTCCATTAAGCGTATTTCCAGTTATAAAAATGAGGTCATCGAAACGTTATATCAAAAATTCCATCAGCACAAAGGCGAAGCGGAGCTTCGCATCACTAGCGATACAACGCAAGCATAGCAAGCGAGTAGAAAGAGAATGAAACAGAAACAATTTTTAAAAACAATACGTGGGTAGAGGACCATTGAGCATAAAACGAAAAAATGCCGTATAAAATTGTTGTCATAAAAACAATTTGGGGTATTAAGTTTTAAAAGCAAAGTTACACCAAGAACGACCTGAATTAACTTGAAAATTATAATGAATTTTTGCCATTTAAACAACAGAAAACAGGTTGATTAATCTGATAAAACATAGGCCGAGGCAATAAACTGAACTTTTTCAAAATTAATCTATCATTAAATACCATATTGAGTTCGATTCCAAAGTAGTCGCCGGTTGATCCTACTCCGTGTACGAGGAGTCCACTGGGCCTGCTGGTTCTGAATCTAAGACTGACGAATCCCCTGAATGAGTCATAGTACACACTCGGTCGATCTTGGTCGTTCGTGTTCATCCGAAGCACTTCTTTTCCAGTGAAACTGATCATGTCCAGAGCTGCAAAACAAATCAGGGGGTTACGTAGCAGTATTTAGACACTGTATTAATCAATCAGAATCGATACAAGAAAAAAATGAATAATTAATGATTATTTATTTCGTAAATTTGCTTTCTCATCTCGATTCTGATTGGTTAATATGGTATTTGTCTGCTTACTGACGAGTATGAATACGCGGTTGTCTTAAAGATTACGTAGCAGTATTTAGACAACCTCGTATTCAGACACAGTATTAACCAATCAAAATCGAGACAAGGAAGATATCAAATTCATTTCTTCTTGTCTCGATTCTGATAGGTTAATACGCTGTTGACAGTGTCTGAATACGCGGTTGTCTAAATACAGACCGCACTCCGAATCAGGACCTGCTTGCCCCCAGACTGAGCGTCTTTTTGAGTCTGTCAATCAATTATGCATCAGTTTCTTAAGTTGGTCTGCTAAAAGACTCATTTTTCACTTTTTATGCTAAAAGATCTGTCTGCTAAACGATCGGTCCCCAAAAAGCTACATATGCTTACAAATTGCCAACGCGATTTAGCACCAGATAAAAATAGAATCAATTTTGCAATTAAATATTTGGAATATAACAAACTGAAGGCATCCACACGATCTTTGCATGTAACAAAACGGGCTGCAAAGTTCCACTTCGTTCTCGCGAAGAGATTTCATTTGGTTGTAAATGAAGTGATCTTTACAGTGAAAGGAATCTATATTGCAAACAATTTATTATTATTATAATATTAATTGGAAAGGAGGAACCAAATGAGAATGTACTCACGGTAGTCGCATCCATACAACTCCACTCGCAGTCCGATCTCTCTGTTCCAGGCCTCCGGGATTATTCTGATGTAGCGGGACACGATGGGGATGCGGAGCGACTGCTTCACAGTGTTGAACTGGTGATGGTTGCCGTCAAAGTGCTACACAAAACACACACATAAAAGTCATGCATGTTAAACAGTCGATAATTGATGAGGATTCTACGTGCACAGGTTATAAACACCAAGAAAAATAAACCGATTTTCCCTTCTTCAGATAGTTAGCTATTCCATCATCGAATATGTGAGGTTTTTAAGCGATTTTTATTTCAATTTGGCAATCGTGGCGTTCGACAATTCATAGGCGCCCGACCCATCTAATTAGACTGATATAACGTAGAAGGAAATGGCAATGAACCTGATATTTTGAGCTGGTATCCTGCTTGACAAAAAGCTCTCTTTTGGCATTTCGCTTCTTCTCGAAAAATACTGGGTTAATACGAGATCGTGCTTTATAAAAGCTTAAAAACTTTCTGGAACTTGGCATCAATATTGGACGGACAACTGTGATAGAAATTACCTGGACAGCTCCATCCAGCGTGTAATCCACAAAGTCGTTGGGTCCATTTGAGTCACTGTACTGCACCCTGTACCTGGTCACCCAATTTCCAAATGTTCCCGAAGACGAGTCGTCTTGCCAGTTGCCTGCCTGGATAGCAACTCCCGTGATCTTGTAGACCTTCATCAAGTCCAATGCGAGCCATTGCGACTGGTCAGGGTCTGAAGTCTTCGGCTGCCAGCCAGTAGCACCTGATTGTAAAAATGATTAAACTGATATCTTGAAATCACTATTTCGGCTCTTTCGCAAAAAAAATCCCCCCTCCATCGACACAAAATTTTTTAACCCACCATACTGTTTTTTTTTAATTACAAACGATTATTTTTCTTGCCATTATAAAGTAATTCAAGCAAAGCCACTGAAAGTTGGAAAAAAGTCAATTAACGCAAGTAAACAGTGAAAAATACTGGCTTGCTTTTTGAAGAAAAAAAAATTTCGAATTTCATAGAAAAACTATATGGCCTAAAGGCTTTAATTATACGGCCTTAACTTATCTCAATTGGAGAAAACAGGATCGATAGCAAATCTGTTTTTCGTGACCTTTACACTTTTGCTGTTCGATAGGAAATTAACTGGGCTTTAAAAAAAATCGGAAGTCAAGCCGGAAATCAAATTGGAGCTTGACCAAATTATCTCGAACTATATAAGAGTCTTCGCTATGCCTATCGACTCTTAAAAAAGAAATTGTACGACAATCGAACGAATTTTTACGAAGCGAAGCGGAGAGCTTTATCACTTGGGATACAACGAAAACTTAGCATTAAGAGCTAGCGAGTAGAGAATGAAATGAAAAACAGGAAAAAAAACTCGAGGAGACGCATAAGCAAATGAGCTTCCCACAGCCCGTTCTTTGGATTGAACCCAAAATCTCAAATATGGCAGGGTACATTTTCGAGAATATTCGAAAAGTTTAAAAAAAAGGTCAAAATCAAAAACTTGACTATTCAGAGGGCCAGAACTTTATGTGTAAAAAAATTTGGGCGTAGCCGCCCATGCAGGGAGCTTTTCGAAATCGTTCTATTCATTGAAACCAAAAACTAAGATTTGAGACTGGCAATTTTTGGAGAAAAAAAATCTGAAATACGGGTCAAATAATCCCCCACAGACTTTTTCGAAGGCTGTTGACAGACGGAGCAAGTAAAAAGAGACTAGGGGAGTACACATGCACACAGGAGAGTAGGCGGTTTTCCAATTGATGTCCCTTTTTGAAAATTAGTATTGTCTGAGAAAAACAAAAAATTTTCAATGAAACTGGAAATAATTTTCAAAGTAAAAAAAATCAACAAACCGATTGGTAAACAAACAACCAACATGAAAAGTGCGGAGGTGAGTGTTCAAGTTGTGTTTACCTTGAAATAACCTAAAATTAAGTCAATAAGCTGATAAAAATAGGCCGAAATAATTTGGGCCGATGATTTTTTTGAGCGGAACAAAAAAAAAACAAAGAAGGAAAGACGAAGTCAAGGTAATTAAAATTACAAACTGTAGGAGTAACTCAAACACTTAAAGTAACATCCAAGAAAAATGCGCACAGCAAAAACAAGCAATTTCAAGATGTGACAAATATGACGACAACAGATAAGCAGAAAAAAAATTAGCCCAATATGTTATTTGAAAAAAATATATATTTCCCATTAAAAAAAACAGGTCCTGGTCAGACTCGTGCTCATGACCTTTGCCATCCCAGTCATATTAGTTACCTCCAGGTTCAGTTGGCCGGAAATGCGTAGAAGTTCGTATGAACCAAAATACAAGTGATTCTGTTAAACAAGCTGCTAACAAGCTGCCGAAAAAAGTCCAAATTCCAGTTTGATACGCTTGCTAATCTCACGAGTAACAAGGGCTAGCCGGTTACTGCGCAAAGGGTACACAATGTTCCGACCATTGTCTTAAAAAATAGAACAAAGTCAGTTTTTCAAATTAATGGCGGTTTTTTTTCGGCGTGGTGTGATAAAAGGAGCTGAACAAAAAAACTGGAGACTAGGTATATTCGACAGCCATAGTTAAATAAGCAAATTGAAAAACAATTTTTTTTTCAAAAATTGCCTGAAAAATGAAAAAAAATTTTTTTCAAGCTTTGCAGTTTTTTGAAAATTTTGATTCCAAAAAGGCGCTAAAACACTCAAAGTAAACTAACTTTCAACCGGTTCATTTCAAACCGGTTTTTCTCGACACAAGGGAAAAACATGTGAAATTTTTAAATATGGCTCGAATCACGACTGTAAGGGCTTTAATATGATAGATCACTCAACCCAGTCCGATCGTTATTTGTGGTGCCTAATTTTGCGTAAAACAAAAAGAAAAAACTAAAACACCCGAATACAAAGTTCTTCCCAATTTTCAAATGGTCGGAACAATAAATAGATAAGTCAATATATGGAGAGTTTTTCTCCGCATTTGATGAGCATTCAGTATTTAATAATGATGCGATATGTTGCTGTGAGCTATATTAGGAACAAGTCAGTATTTCTCAGTCAAAAGGCTTATTAAAAGATGATACATACTATTTAATCTTGCAGCAGACGGTTGCCGATCTGTCCGCGAATAACTTGAAGCGGAAAAGGAGTTGTCAAACTCTATTTTTCTTTCCAAGCCAATGGGTGCGACGCATTCCCGTTGGCTTTTTGCCAGGCTGAAGTCATACTGCAATCCGTTGACTAGCAACAAATCCTCAGGTTCCGGAGGGTCTTCTTGCAGCGCTGAAGAAAATTTACCATTCAAAAAGAATGCTGATATTGTGAAGCGTCATTGAAAGCGATCATAATTACCTGTACGAATGGGTTGCAATAAGCTTGCAATGATCAACGCTAAAACTATCATAGTGCCTGAAACCATCTAGATTGTAGCAAAATCTATAACAGTCTCTCAAACTTTCACGTTCAATCGCAAGAATGCATGAACATTATATTTTAATCAACTTTCGCCGTCAGAATAATAATAAAATTAATAAGAGGCGAAGCTGAGCTTCGCACCACTTACGATACGACACAAAAAAAATCGAACAATCTAGATCTTTCATAAAAGAAAAACTAGATCTATCATAATGAATAAGGCTAGTTGAAACAAAAACAAGTCAAAACAATAGAATGTGAAATTAGCATCGGAAGCTAATTAAACAAGCGGTAACAAATACCTTGACAGAAACCGTTTAAGCCGAAAAAAAAAACAACAAGAGTGTTAACTATAAAAAGTTTTTAAAAGAAAATAAATGATTAGTTTTATAGTTAACATTCTCAAATACATGTTTCAGGATCAAAATTTCCATATCTAGAAAATTCCGAGGATTTTGACTGGAAGACGTGATGAAGGGACTCCTGAAAAAAAAAGAAAAAAAAAGAAAAGATAAAAAAAAACTAAAAAAAAAACAAGATTCAACACATATGAAAAGTCCCCGTTGCCCTCAAAACACTCAAAAAACATTATTTGCTCATCAAATGGATCAATATAATACAACTAAGCCGATATAATATAGCCCGAAATCTCGGAAGCCCAAAATTAACGAAACTAAAAAATAAAACTTAAGACTTATAAGAAGTTAATAAGCCCCCCTCGCCTTCAAACACAGACACGCACACAAACACAGATACTTTTTTTGCTCGTCGAAGGACGCAATATGAGGCCGACAAGCCGATATAATATAGAACTCTATAAACCCGAAAAAAAAAGAAAAAATAAAGAAGGCGATGAAAAAATCGTTGTCATGAAAAATTTGAATTATACCTAAGACTCAAGAATTTTTATATACTTAGGTACCAACGTACAGCCGGAGACTGCTGAAGAAAAAACACTAAGCAACCTTCCCAGCGAGGGTGAACGAAGACTCTTAATTGTAGAACTGAGAGACGTGCAATAGATGTGGAAGGTACTGAAATACGCATAAAAAACTTCGGACTTTAACTCGGTTTGAAAGTACTCACATCAACCCCAGCCTCACGAAAGAACAACGCAAGCAAGACTATCTACTGCGACAGCAATTTCGGGAAATGCGCACGGTCAATGCCCTCATATAATAGTACGTCTCGATGTAAAAAGAATTTCTTATCACTTATTTTCCATGAAAGTGGTTTAAGTCAAAATCAACAACCTTTGTTTAACCGCTGTATTTTTGATATCATTTAAAAAATTAAAAGTCATAAGTCAATTTTATTTAACTCCTTTCTCGAATATAGCAGTTACAGATTCGCTTAGAGTCTTTTGGTTCTAAGCAACCATTTCTGAAAATCGACCAATCACAGATGAGTATTTCAACATCCCCAAAGTCGATATAAAATTAACCGTGGAAGTTATACAGAATGAAGCAGAAAGGTCGTCACCAAATACAAAACAAAACACTGAAAATTGACTAGCAAACCACACACCCGCTCCGAAAAGCAGCTAAAGTTCATGTTTTGGGATGACCACGGAACTATGAAAACCTTTGCACATACAGACTCAGACCTACATATATACTTCGATGTTGTTATATTAGCCGAAACAAAGCGCTTAGAACATTTTGAACTACAGGGTGCTTTATCTGGTGGTATCGAAATTATCGTTGATAACGAATTACACAGTCCAACACGACTACACTACTTAACTCCTGAAATATAAGTAGTAATTCAGTTTGTGACATTCGACCAGAATGGACAAAAATGCAGATTCAGCATATTCGAGTTTTTAACAGCGAACCTTCCTAATTGGCGATTTTGAAGGAATAAGAGCGTTATTGAAACGATTGGCCAAACGGTGAAGGCTAGAATATTCTGGTGTTTCAAATTTTTAAAATTTCGAAGTATGAAGTCATATTTCTGAGAAACGTCAGAAACGGCCATTTTGGTAGAAAACCGGAAGAAAGACACATCAACATTAGTTGCGATAGCGAAAACAACGAAGATTGTGGTTGAAAAACAACAACGAATTGCAGAAGTAGCAGAGACCGTTCCGAATTGCAACTATTGTGTCGCTACATTAGTTGCAAGGCCATTGCGAACAACGGTGAAGGGTGGAAGACAGCCTCCCGGAAGGAAGATAAGAGTCTTATTTCCCCGGATTCAGGATGCCGGAGGGGTCTCGGGACTGGAACTTTTATTAACTTATATAAATTTTTAGCTTCCCTATTATGTCCTGAGTTAAATTAAATTAACCTCTGAATTCATTCTACTAAGATGAGAAGCTAGGAGTTGGGGGAAAGGGTTGATCCATCTTAGATGGAGATGATGATTTTTATCTACTGAACAAAAACAACAATAATTCAATAAATAGTAGTAGCGCTGATTTTAGGAGTGATCTCGTGGTCTGGGGATGCTGAGACCTAGCCATGAGCTCACTATTTCTGCATGTAATTAAGTTAATTTGAGTGTTTTGACCGAAGCCGAAAGCAGTAACGTTTTTTGTCGACCCGATGTTAGAAAGACCACCGAAAGTAGTGGCTTGGTTGAGACGGTTAAAAACATGTAAAGCTCTGTTTAGATGTTAGCCAGTCGTCTTAGGACTTAGTTTTGTTTTCCGTCGATATGTATCTTCCGGGCGAATGTACCATAGATGTTTTTATGGCGCTCCTGGGTGTTATTCTTTTTTAACATCATGACAGGCAGAACCGTTAACGAGCACTCCGCGCCGAGCGAATGCTCACATTGACGCCCTTAATAGGCCTAAACCGCCGTGGCGGAAGGGTAGTTCGGAACGCGGAAGCCTTCCGGATTACCTTGAATAGCGTTTTAACCTAGTTAAGGCCGAAAATTCACGAATCAGGAAGGGTGGGGGGATCGACCATCCCCTCGTTCCCTGAGAGGTTTGTGACCAAAAACACTTAAAGATATACAAAAACCAAACAAAAAGTAGTATAGTACCCAAGAAAAACAAAAAACATAGAAAAAATAACCGAAAAACCAAAAACAGTTGTGCCAGTCGGTCATATTTGGAAGTTTGACCTTGAGAAGAGCAGAAAACACTTGATTTTGGAGTGAAATTTGAATTTTTAAAATTTCGAATGGAACATGTCATGCACGATTTTCTCGCGAGAACTGTGTAACAGTCGCCTACTTTAGTCACATATGAGGCTTAAGAAAAATAGGCCCTATAACCATTGGCTCAAGAGTCAGGGACACTATCTCTTGTGTTTTTCCGCCTCAAGAACGGTCGGAGCCAATTCGGTTCGCTTGCGACATGAGACTGGAACCCATTACAGCTTAAAGGCCACTACCAAAATACCCCCCCACTCTAGAAATAAAGACGTCCCCATACTTAGGTCTCGGGATACCCAAAATACATGAACGCCGTTAAAAACCGGGTCGGAACAATCCGCTTAGTTACTTTTTATTGGACAGTGGAACTTTGATCCATTTCAGATGGATCAACCTAAAACTCGCCTTATCTCAACATAACTATCATAAAATACACTCGAGAAATTTAAATTGGAACTTACATATCGACGCACTTGAATATGAGGAGTAAGTTATAACTGAGCAGCTTGAGAATTAAGTAATATAACTAAATAAGTTTTAAGGCCAATTAGTTTCAATAACAGAAGTAAGTTTTTGTCTCTAGAATCAAAGTCTCTGAATGAACCCTTTGGACACTCGAGTTGTCCACTCTTCCATTCAGAGTCCACTCCTTTCCATTCGAATAATTGTTCTGTCTCAAGTCCGTATTCGATTCTCCTGTTTTCAGGACAAGACAGCTCTACTCTCTTGATATTTCGTATCGAGAAATTGCGAATAGCAATTTCCTGCCTTTTTCTTGAGTAGTTTCCCGCAATTGTTAATTCGGGTGTTCTGATTTCTGACTTTTTCATTTTCAGTTGGTTCGAGAAAATTGAGCATGACAGGCTCGATTCGAATTTTGCAAAATTAAAATTTCACTCCAAAATTACGTATTTCTCAAGGTCGAACCCCCAGACATGACCGACTGGCACATACTCCCCGGACTCGAGATCGATGTCCTCATCGTGTGTTGTCATCTGCCAATAAGTCCCAGAGAACCGAGTGTTGCTCAAGATACAGTGCCAGTGGTCATTTACAGAAGTTTGCATCGGACTTAAGTTTATCTACCTTCCAAAATTCACAACCATATAAAATTTTCACACTATCGCTAAACAGCAATCAAAATCTGCACACACCTGCACCCATGGATCCCCGCTTTTTAAGCTGGTAATTTTAAAGTTTCTTTTGTCCTATTTCAGTCAGAGAATTGTCATGCATCAATTTGATTTATCTACTAGATCTATCATATTAATAACAATATCTTATTCGTCTAAAATTTCTTTTTCGTGAACCCAGATTTCATCCAAGTTCACGCTCAAGCCCCCTCCCTCTCAAGACTCAAGACTCTAGAATTTCCTTTCGAGCCACTGGCTCACCTCATGTTCTTCGCCTTCGAGGTACCTGATACCGGTGTTCTTGGCACTGTAATTTGTTCCAATAGTGCCTCTTCGTCATCGGAGCTAATCACAATTTCCTCCCAGGCCTTCAGCTGTTCATAGGCTCGCATCCACTCTCTCTGCTCTTGCAACCTTTTCAATTGACTTGGTAGGCCTTTCACCTTCGACTCCCGGTTCAAGCAGAAGGAGTTATGAAGACTCAAGCTCACATTCCTCGCCAGGTCCTCCTCCAGTATCGTTTCCCTCGCTCTAGAATTGTCTCTGGATATTCTGCCTACTCTTTTCCACCCCGCCGTGATTGCGTTTCGATGGGTTAGCAGAGGTCTCTTAAAGGCATCTGGCCCTATTTCAGCTTGGAATTGTCGATATTCCTTCTGATGTTTCCTCATGTGGTCCTTTGTCACTGCATACAACCAGGATGTTAACGTCGCACGAAACCAAGGAAAGAATCTCAGGCGGCTCCATATGTG